AACAACACAAGCAGCATCAGCAGCACCAGCAGCATCAGCAGCACCAGCAGCACCAGCAGCAGCAGCAGCACCAGCAGCATCAGCAGCACCAGCAGCATCAGGAGCACCAGCAGCATCAGGAGCACCAGCAGCATCAGGAGCACCAGCAGCATCAGCAGCACCAGCAGCGCTATCGGCGCATGACTCGGTTCCTCTCCCGCTTCCTAAACCGCTCCAATATAAGATCATCTGTTGCTGCTTGACGCCTCTCCCCTCCCCCTCTCCCCCCACCCCCGCCACCCCCATACCCACCCCCACCCCCATACCCACCTCCCCCACCATACCCCCCTCCGCCCCCATCCCCAAGTTGATACAGATCCCCCCCACCGTACCCCCCTCCCCCTCCTCTGCCCCCTCCGCCTCCCCTTCCGCCTCTCGAGTCTCGGAACATGTCAGGATTGTCTGGAAAAAAAGGGCCAAGGGGAGGGGACAACGGGGAGGGGATGGGTACGGAGGGGGAGGAGAGACAAGGAAATTATGCGTTGCAGTTTGAGAGAAGATAAAAAACACCTTCCCCTTTTGCCACCCACACCCTCCTCCTTTTTCGCCAACACTTCCAGAAACCCGCTTCTGGAACAGATTGGGTATGTCTGGTATGGGAGGTGGGTAGCGGCTTGTCGATTACCAGACAGGAGGCTCTCAAATCCGTGGTGAATAGGAGGCAGATGCAGGCGCGAGTGTGGTTACGGGCAGCGTGCCACTCACGAGGCGCGTGGCGGAGACCGTAGACTGGCCGCCGGAGACTCCACTGGGTACCAGGAGGAAACGACCCAGTGAAGCCAGGTGGGCGGCGCAGCCAGATCTCCTCGTGCAGGCTGCCCTGTAAGAAGGATGTGCTGAAGTCAAGTGAGTGAAGCTCGTAGTCACGCTGAGCGGCAACGTGCAGCAGCACCCGAAGAGTGGTCATCTTCGGGGTAGGGGAGAAGGTCTGGAAGAAGTCAACTCCCTCTCACTGACTGAAGCCTCGAGCAACGTAACGAGCCTTGAAGACAGGAGGAGAACCCGGCGGCCGCTTCACCCTGAAGATCCACATGCCATCGACGATGTTCGCCCCAGGAGGGGGAACCTCATCGACGTAAGTGCCTGTGGACTTCCAGGATGCCATCTCTGCGTCCATGGCTGTCTGCCACTGAGAGGAGTACTCACCCGCGATCGCCTCAGCGTAAGAGCGCGGGGTCGGGATGTCTGGTGCATCCGGGTCTCCCTCGGGGGCAAGCAGCATGGCCACGAGATGAGGCGCAGCAGCCGCAAGACACTCAAGGTCCTCGTGTCTGTCCTCAAGAACGTCCGTGCTAAGAGCACACTCACCCCCGACGGATGGAGGACAGACAGACTCAGACTCAGCAACAAGACTGGCAGCGAAGTCTAGACGACAGGCAGCAGCAAAGTCAACAAGCTCAGCGACCAGGGCAGACGCAGCAGTAGACTTAAACGACGGGTCAGTGACAACAGTGGCTAGTAGACGCGTGACAGTAGGGTGCTCGGCACGAAACCGATCAGACTCAGGATCCGCGATGTCAGGCAAAGAGGACGCAGGAGGAGACGGAAGAGGAGTACGCTCCGGAGGAGAGGACCGACGCAGGGCTACAAGGCGTGTGCCGGAGACAGCCGGCTGACGCTGACGAGGAACACGACGAACAGTATGACAAGGACGAACAGGCGAGACTGGACGCGACGCAGGCTCACGACGCTCAGCAAGACTACCTGTCTGCTCAGTGTAAGGAGAGGGAGCAGGCAGCGGTGAGCCAGGCTGTAACGGAAGACCAGTAGACGACGGGAGAGCAGCGCGGATCTGAGCTGGACCTGAGCTGGAGACGAGCAGCGCGGATCCAAGGGATCAAAACAGCAGGGACGTCCCCCTTGCTCTGCAAGGGGAAGACCGTGGTGTAACGCGTGTAGTCGTCGACAACCAGCAGGAAGTACCGCTCGTGGCCCAGTCCACGGACGCGAGCTGGGCCCCACACGTCCAGGTGGAGAGTCTGCAGGGGAGCCTCTGTGAGAAGGAACGGGGAGGAGTGAGGAGCGGCGCGCTGCCGCCCCTCGACGCAAGGAATGCAGGGCGGCGCAGGCGAGGGAGGGAGAGCAGGCAGAGACCTGGGAAGACCAGAAACCAGGGAGCGAGAGTGCATGCCACGAAGGCGAGGCAGGGAGGGGTGACCAAGGCGGTGGTGCCACAGGAGAGTGTCGTGCGACAAAGCGCGACACTCGCAGGGGGCTGCCAGCTGACCAGACGTAGACGCAGACGCAGCTACCTGAGGGGACTCAGTGGTGAGTGTGTACAGACTCGAGCCAGGTGCACGGGTGAACGTGGCCAAGGGGCGGCCCGTCCGAGCACACGTACAGTGAGTCACTCGCTGACTCGCAGGAGTGAACTGGTGAACCCCCCCATCCTGGAGGTCAGCTCCACTCACCAAGTTTGTAGAGAACGAGGGGAGGTAAAGACCTGACAGGAAGCCAGACGGGACGGCCGGACACGGCAGAACCGTGGAGTAGTGGGCAAGGACTGGACCCCTAGAGGGGTCCGCCAGGGAGACCGGAACTGGCCGACTGAGCGGCGTGAGTGTGGTGCAGTCGCGAAAGAAAGAGCGGGAAGCTCCTGAGTCAAGGGTGAAGGTGTGCAAGACCGCAGCAGGCGCAGTACCAGAGAGAGCAAACTCACCAGCACCTAGAGCAGCAGTCTCACCAGCACCTAGAGCAGGAGACGCACGAGCACCTAGAGCAGCAGCCTCACCAGTACCGAGAGCAGCAGGCGCTATACCAGGGTCAGGCGGGACGCACAGGTAACAGGCACGGTCAACACTAGTAGGCAATGCATACATGGCAGTGAGAATAGCATCATAGTCAAGTGCAAAGATATCTACCCTCTGTCCAAGCAGCTCCGGCCAGGTAGGGAGCTCAGCCTCGTCTCCAAACACGGTACGCCAGGCGTCACTCAGACGGGCGAAGCAGCGGGACTGTGTGTGACCAAGCGTCCCGCAAGGCTGACCAGTCCTAACACCTGTGCGAATGACGTACGGGCAGCGAACGGTACGCGAAGACCTGCTACACTGAGCGTACCACTCCTGGAGCTGCCGGGGCGTAAGTGTCTCGCGTGGACGCCCCTGCAGCTGCAGCTGGCCACTGCCAGACGCCCCCAACTGACCAGCTCCAGGGCGACTGCTACGACGGCTACCTCGACAGCCCCAACTAGTATACCACTCATCAAGCTGCTGGGGCGTGAGAGACTCGCGGGAACGACGCTGGAGCTGCATCTGGCCACCTGCTAATAGCAGGAGTAGTAGCAGCCGCTCGGGCAGCTCGGACAGGCGCGGCAGGCCGGCAGACAGGCAGGCAGGCCGGCAGACAGGCAGGCAGGCCGGCAGACAGGCAGGCAGGCAGGCAGGCAGACAGACAGGCAGGCAGGCAGACAGGCAGGCCGGCAGGCAGGTAGGCAGGCAGGCAGGCAGACAGGCAGGCCGACAGGCAGGCCGGCAGGCAGACAGGCCAGCAGGCAGACAGGTAGGCAGGTAGGCCAACAAGCAGGCAGGCAGACAGGCAGGCTGGCCAGCAGGCAGGCCAACAGGCAGGCAGGCAGACAGGCAGGCCGGCAGGCAGACAGGCAGGCAGGCTGGCAGTCACGCAGGCAGGCAGGCAGGCAGGCAGGTGCTCACCAAAGGCTGGAAAGGGCCGGCGCTTGGCGGGCGGCGGCCGGGTAGGCATACGACGGCGGCGACGGCGGGGCCGCAACAGCGGCTGCAGAGTAGGGCCGAAGCAGCTGCAGGGCGGGGCCGCTTCAGCGGCAGTTGCAGGGTGGGGCCGCGTCAGCGGCAGGTCGGGGCCGTGGCAGCTGCAGGGCGGGGCCGCATCAGCGGCAGGTCGGGGCCGTGGCAGCTGCAGGGCGGGGCCGCATCAGCGGCAGGTCGGGGCCGAGGCAGAGGGCCGCGCGCGGCTCGTCACGGGCTGCGCTGACAGCGCGCTGGGCTGCTGCAGGCCGCGCGCGGCCGCGCTAGGCAGTAGCGGGCCGCGCGCGGCTCGGCGCGGGCTGTTGCGGGCCGCGCGCGGGCCGCGCGAGGCAGTAGCAGGCCGCGCGCGGCTCGGCACAGGCTGCTGCGGGCCGCGCGCGGGCCTCGCGAGGCCGTAGCAGGCCGCGCGCGGCTCGACGCGGGCTGCGCGGGCTCGGCGCGGGCTGCGCGCGGCAGCAGCGGGCTGCGCGCGGCTCGGTGCGGGCTGCGCGCGGCTCGGCGCGGGCTGCGCGGGCTCGGTGCGGGCAGCGCGCGGCAGCAGCGGGCTGCGCGCGGCTCGGCGCGGGCTGCGCGGGCTCAGTGCGGGCAGCGCTCGGTAGCAGCGGGCTGCGCGCGGCTCGGCGCGGGCTGCACGGGCTCGGTGCGGGCAGCGCTCGGCAGCAGGGGGCCTAACGGGTCTGCAGGGGCTGTTCGCGGGCCTGAAGGGCGTGTAGGGGCGGCGCGCGGGCCTTACGGGCCTCTAGGGGCAGCGCGCTGGCCTAGGGCAGCAGGAGGCAGCGCTAGGGCTGCTGGACGGCGCGCGTAGCGCAGTACGTCACAAGGCAAGGCAAGGCAGGCAGGTACGTGGGGTAGCGCGGTAACCGCAGCGGTAGGTGGGCCCGAAAAAAAAACGGTCCTACGGACCTTAGTGCTCTGAAACCATGTTAGAATCTAGCAGCAGGAATGGATGAACTAGCAGGAAGATGGGTACAAGTAGGAAACCCTAATTTGGGTTGTACCCCATATGGGCTACCCCACTACAGCCTACACAATAAGCAGCATATATGTTTGACAAGGGCAAGCTGGTCCTCAGTGCAAGCAGCGCGAAAGCGAGCGTCAAGGGAGCGCAGGTGGGTAGCGAGGTCAGAGACAGTCTCAAAGGAGGCGAGGTCAGGGTAGATAAAGGGTACGAGGAGGCGACTGAGTGAAGCAGAGGAGGGAGTGGAGTAGCGAGTAACAATAGCCTCGTGTTGTGCTATGCTACGTCTCAAGAAAAAAACAGTAGGCCCTTTCAAAATGGTGAACGGAGACGGATGGGGTGCGGTGGGAGGTAGTGGCAGTGGGAGGGGCGTAATTGGGGGCAGAAACAGGATTAGGGTGAGTAGTGGAGGGTGGTGGAGAGGTGTGGGAGGGAGTGGAGAGGGTGGCTGATGGTGTGCTATGGTGCGAAAGGAGATTGGAGCATGGGAAGGGGCGACGCCAGAGGGACCAGTGATGGCTGATGCAGTGCATTGCAGTCCAAGCACACATACCCCTTTTCAGCTTCTCCGCGTATTCACGACCGCGCTGAAAGAAATCTGCGCTGTAGCTGGCAGGCAGCGTTGTTGACGGAGGGCTGGAGGGCGGGCGGGAGAAGAGACAGAGAGAAACAGGTGCATGAGAATGCAGCATCACAGAGTGTGAAATGGCTTCTGAGGCACCTCAGAAGTTGTAACCAATTTGGGGCGCGTCAAAAGCAGAGGCGGAGAGAAACAGGTGCATGAGAATGCAACATGGCAGAGAGTGCAAAGCCTCACGGGTCACAAGTCAAGAAGAAGTGCGGAAACATGACGAGACGACTTTTGAGGCGCCTAAAGAATGCAGCATGACAGAGTGTGCACCGGTTTTAAGAATTGTAAAGAAGCGACCATTCAAACAAGCAGGAGAATGAAAATGAAACATGACAGGGATCACTTATGAGAAGCCACTTAGGCAAAAATGTACAGCTTCATAACCCCAGTCCTCCCCTGAGCCCTCCTTTTCACCCCAATCCATTTTCACCAGCACATCATCCCATCACCTCTCCTTCTTTCCCGCTCTCTATTGTCTCCCACAAAAAGAACAAGCCATACCGAGGGCGGTTCATGAAGGGCCTTCTCTCCTGCAGCATGCGTTTGGCCTCCTCCGTGGCCTCAATGTTGCTCAGCTTGTAGCTGGAAGGAAGATGGCAAGGGGGAAGAGGAGAAGGGGGAAGAGGACAAGGGGGAGTGAAGCGAGTCAGACAATGCAGCATGCGCTTGGCCTCCTCTGTGGCCTCAATGCTGCTCAGCTTGTAGCTGGGGTATGGGGGTGGGGTGGGACAGTGGGGGCGAAAAGGGGGTGGGAGTAAGGGAAGGGAACAACGGGGAGTGAAGCGAGTCAGTTGCTGCAGCATGCGCTTCGCCTCCTCTGTGGCCTCAATGTTGCTCAGCTTGTGGCTGCGAGGATGAGAAGAGAAAGGAGAGATTCACATCACAGAATGCACTTGGCTCTTGAGGTGCCTCAAAAATGCACTTGGCTCCCTTGATGAATCATCATTTTCAAGATTTCTCACCTCACATATCACTAAGAACCGGTTCATCTCACAAAGGCAATCACATCACAAAACGCACCTGCCTCCCGTGGTTGGAAGAACCGGTCTGCACTGAAAGCAACAAAGAGAGGCACAACTGGTGTTCAACATGGTTCTTCTGCCTTCCTCCGTTGCTTTCAGTGCGGCTCACTCTCAATCAAGTCAACTCAACTAGCCACTTGCTCCCCCAATTCAACTCCCCTCTCAACTCACCCAATTCCGCTATGCCCATCGTCCATGCCGTTCCTGCCATGAATGAGTCGCAGCTGGTGCCATTGCTTTTAGGTGCGGCTCATTCTCATGGCACCACGCACGCCCCTTGCTCCCAATGCATCTCCCCATGCATCCCTCTAACTCCCTTCCCAACTCACTCGATGGGCAGCTGCACCTCCGCTTTGCCCGCCGTCTATGCTGTGCCACCCTCCTCCGTTGCTCTCATTCTCAGTGCATTCACTCTGTCACCCAACGCATCACTTGTGCTTAACATTATTCCCCTCCCAACTCACTCAATAGGCAGCTGCACTGCACCTCTGAAATACCCGTCGTCGTCCACGCTGTGCCGCTGTGCTGTTGCTCTCAATGCACCTCTCTAATTCCCTCCCAACTCACTCAATAGGCAGCTGCACTTCTGCTATGCCCATCGCCCATGCTGTGCCGCTGTGCTCCATTGCTCTCAAGCCACCACATTCTCAATCTACTCCCAACGCATCTCCCCACTCAATTTCCCTCCCTATTCCTTCCCTCTCAACTCACTCAATCGGCAGCTGCACCTCCGCTATGCCCGTTGTCCATGCTGTGCCACCCTCCTCCCCCTCCAGCTTCCCAACCTGCGCCACCAGAACAGGGAGGTAGGAAGGATTGAGAGGGTTAAGGATTGAGCGTGGGAACTGGGAGGAAACAGTGGATTTCGGGTTTACACTCACATATGCACCGGAATGTGGATACTTCATACTTCCATGTGATAAGAGTGAGATTTTGAGACGTCTCAAAATCTCACTTTATCACCTCGAACATGCACCGGAATGTGGATACCTCATACTTCCATGTGATAAGAGTGAGATTTTGAGACGTCTCAAAATCTCACTTTATCACCTCGAACATGCACCGGAATGTGGATACCTCATACTTCCATGTGATAAGAGTGAGATTTTGAGACGTCTCAAAATCTCACTTTATCACCTCGAACATGCACCGGAATGTGGATACCTCATACTTCCATGTGATAAGAGTGAGATTTTGAGACGTCTCAAAATCTCACTTTATCACCTCGAACATGCACCGGAATGTGGATACCTCATACTTCCATGTGATAAGAGTGAGATTTTGAGACGTCTCAAAATCTCACTTTACCACCTCGAACATGCACCGGAATGTGGATATCTCATACTTCCATGTGATAAGAGTGAGATTTTGAGACGTCTCAAAATCTCACTTTATCACCTCGAACATGCACCGGAATGTGGATACCTCATACTTCCATGTGATAAGAGTGAGATTTTGAGACGTCTCAATATCTCACTTTATCACCTCGAATATGCACCTGAATATAAATTCATCATGCTTCCACACTTGCTGCTGCAAAAGCAAGCGAAAAGTCCTATTCTTAGAATCACCTGCTAACTACCAGCACTGCTATAATCACCTGCAAGTGCTGTAAAACCGCGTACAACTTGACTTCCGCCCGCAGCCCTTCATCCTCCCCCTTCCGCTCCCTCTCTCTTTAGCACCTGCTAGCATTCGTTATCATCACCTGCTAGCTATTAACACTCGTTATAATCACCTCACCTGCAAGTGCTGTGGAATCTCGTACAACTTGTCTTCCGCCCGCAACCCTTCGTCATCCCCCTCCCCCTCCCTCCTGCTGCCCCCCCCTGCTCCCGCCCCTCCCCCTCGCCGCTTCGCCAGCTCCTCCTCAATGTACTTGAGCCTGGGGGGGTGAGGTTGGGGAGGGGGCGAGTGGGTGGGGAGAGTAGGCATAAGGGTAAGGGGTGTGAGGGTGAACGAAGTGGGACTCGTATCAACACCCCCTCGCCTCTTTGCCAGCTCCTCCTCAATGTACTTGAGCCTGGGGGGGAGGGCAGGGGGGTTGGGGGGAAAGTGGGAGGTTGGGGCGGAAGGGGATGGGGCATGAGGGTCAGGGTATGGAATTTAACCTGACACCCCCAACCCTCGGCTGTACTTGAGCCTGGAGTGGGGGAGAGGGGGAGTACGCGAAGGGGCGGGGCGGGGGGGGAGGGGCATGGGGCATGAAGCATGGGACTCCCCCTCCCCCTCGCCACTTCGCCAGCTCCTCCTCGATGTACTTGAGCCTGGGGGGGAGGAGAAGCAGGAAAGAGGGGAGAAGGGTGTGGGGAGAAGGGAGGGGAGGAGAAGGGATGGGGGTGAGGTTGCGTGGGATTCGACTGAGAACCTTCTTGCCGATTTGCCAGCTCCTCCTCTATGTACTTGAGCCTGGGGGGAAGTGGGGAGAGGAGGGGAAGGGGGAATAGGGGTGCGGAGGGGGAAGGGGGCTCAACTCACCGCCCCTCCCCTTCGGCGCTTCGCCAGCTCCTCCCTTATGAACTTGAGCCTGGGGGGGCAGGGGGGAGAGCGGGGGAGAAGGATAAAAAAGTAAGGGAAAGAGGGAGAGGGGGCATGGGGGCATGAAGGCCAGGGTACAAGACTTGAATCAGCAACCTCTCGCCACTTTGCCAGTTTCTCCTTGATGTGCTTGAGCCTGGGGGGGTGGGGAGGGTGAAGGGGGGAGGGGAAAGGAAAGGGGGAGAGGGGCATGGGGCATGAAGAATGAGATTCAGGTCAGCACCCCCTCAGCGCTATGCGAGCTGCTCCTCAATGTACTTGAGCCTGGGGAGAGGGAAAAGGGAGGGTGGGGGAAGGAAGGGGAAGAGGGGCATGGGGCATGAAGTATGAGATTCAGGTCAGCACCCCCTCGGCGCGTTGCCAGCTCCTCCTTGATGTACTTGAGCGTGGGGGGAGACAAGGGTGTGGGATGTGGCGCATGGGGAATAGGCGATGAGAGCACGCAACGTGTCTCAGCACTCCTTCGGCATTTCACTAGCTCCCCCTCAATGTACTTGAGCCTGGGGGATAAGAAGGGGTAGAAGAGAGGGTCACATACACCCCCTCTTCCCCTTCCTCCGCCTCACCATCAATACACTCCCATCTCGTTACAATCACATATTGTTACAGTCACGTACATGTTCGGGTCTTCCACAGTGATCGCCGTCTCCTGCGCAAACGTGTCCTGTAGCACCAGCTCCTCGCCCCCTTCCCCTTCCTCCCTGAATACACTCCCATCTCGTTACAGTCACGTACATGTTTGGGTCTTCTACAGTAATCGCCGTTTCCTGCGCAAACGTGTCCTGTAGCACCAGCTCCTCGCCCCCTTCCCCTTCCTCCCCCGCCTCCCCCTGCCCCCCCGCGCCTCCCCCCTTCCCCTCCGCCCCTTGCGCGCCTGTGAGCGCCCCGTCTGCTGCAATCCCCTTAAGGCGCACGCGCTGCTGCTGTAAAAGGCGCACTTCTTCTAGCGCGGACCTGGGGAGATGGTGAGGGGTTGGGAGCGGTAAGGGGGTGTTTGCAGGGACAAACTGCGCGCCCCGTCTGCTGCAATCCCCTTGAGGCGCACGCGCTGCTGCAGCAGGCGCACATCTTCTAGGGCGGAACTGAGGCGGAACTGAGGCGGGTAGATACGAGGAAAGAATACGGGGGTGGGGGGAGAAAGGGGATGGGACGGTTGGCTTGAGCCGCACATGCTGCTGCGTCAAGTCGTATTTGAAGGAGGGGAGATACGGGGATTGAATTCGCCATGGGGAAAGAGGGACGGATAGGTTGAGCCACATGAGCTGAGGTGACGCCCTCGCGTGGAATAACGAGAGCGCGGGTCATATAAACGGCGGACGATTGAGGGCAAGGGAACGGCACTGAGGGACGCAAGGTCGTTGCATCGAACGGTTGAAACCCAACCTAGGTTTGGTAAAGGATAGGTACGACCGAACCTACGCACGGTCAGACCAAGATACGGTCAACCTTAGGTACGGCCGAACCAAATTACGGCCAAAGCTAATCACGATAAAATCTAGGTACGGCGTGAAACTCTGTATAACGCGTACCGGACGTCCTTGTGCTCCTCGGGCTCCCCTCCGCCATCTCCCGCCTCTCGCTGCCATTTGCGCTTCGGTCATTTTAAACTCTGCCAAAATTATGTGCGGTTAACGACGATATAGCGCGTACCGGACGTCTTTCTGCTCCTCGGGCTCCCCTCCGCCATACTCAGTGCTACAATCAATTTAACTGCGGCCAGTCCTATTTGCGGCCAAACCTATGTCCGCTCAAGATTTAGGACGGACTAAAATGTGAGTCAAGCGCGTACCGGACGTCTTTCTGCTCCTCTTGCTCCCCTCCGCCATCCCCGTCCTCCTCCTCGAGTGCTTTCCGCTTCCGAAACTGCCGCTTCTGCTGCACCGGCATGGTGTCGCACGACGGGATCGCAGAAATACGCGTCGCAGGGAAACGAGCGTCGCAAGAAAGCGTCGAAGAAAATGCGCGTCGCAGCGAAGTTGGCGTCACCGAAACAGCAAGCGAGTATGGCAATCAACGAGCTGACGAGCGCACAAGACGGAAACAAGAACCCGAGAAGCAAACCCTAAAATTGCACGCACTCAAGTCGGCTCTTTCGTTCGAGTCATTCCTTTTTCCAAACACACATAAACAAAAAAAGGATCGGTGTTGAAGGGCGACAGACGAGTGTATTCGCTTTATCATCACGAAGGGCGAAATGGGGTTGGGTGATGGTGGCCCGCATCTACTTGCGTTTCCTGGTAACATCTCAAGGTTCGCTTTCGCCAACAACGCACCAGTTTCAGAATTTCAGGACTCCAAGTCGAAATATCAGACAAGTGAATACTACCTGGGGCAGCCCGCACGCTTCGAAGTCTTGTTTGTTTCAATCCCGTGTCGCCCCTCTGTGTCATCGAGCCCGCAAACCACGGGCCAGCCTGGGACCGCGTTATTCTCAAGGCTGACAATTAGGCTAGGAAACAGCAATACTTGGACCAGCCATGCACGCGACAGCACTCCCTTCGTCCGTCAACAATGTGACCCGTCGCCGGCTCGACGCAGTCCCGTTCGCCGGCGGCCGCATTGTCGCCGTCCGTCCGAAACCGTCAATTAGGCGGCGCAGTCGCATCCAGCGCCATGACAAGTCGCGCCGCTCTAGCGGTCCCAGCATACGCCACGGCTGTCGGCGTCGCGTGCGTTTCTCTCATTAAAAATAGTACTAAAGCCGCTTATATTGGCACGAATAAAGCGTGCGTATACGAGGCGTCGCGAAAGCAGACCGGTAGTATAGCGGCGGTTAGACTCGTCCGCGAGGAACGGAGAGAATCAAAGCGATTGATTGCGGCGGCAGCAGCCGACGGAGCCGCAGCTTCTGCGGATGTGACTGAAGCGGATGTGAGTGAAGCGGATGCTGCAGCGGTGGAGGCGGCGGCGTGGGAGATTCTGGACGACTTCAACCGACGCGACGTGCGCGGCGAGCCGCAGGTAGGCTGAGAGGTGCAATGCAAGCCGCAGGTAGGGCGAGACGTGCGGGGCGAATGTGCGCCAGAGACCTTTATACTAACAGCTATACCATCCACATTGCCGCCCACCCCACCCCCATTGCCGCCCACTCTCATCCACGTTGCCGCCCCCTCCTTCCCCTCCCCCCGTACCCAGGTCTCCCTGGCAACCCCAGGTGGCGTTGCGGCCCTCAAGGCCTCTCTGCTGCTCTCAAGCCTCAAGCCTTGGCTTACTTCTTTCTCTGCTTGCACGGTTGTCGGGGTGAATTGCCACCCACCCCCCTCCTTCCCTCCCTCCCTCCACCCTCCCTTCCACAGGTCTCCCTGGCAACCCCAGGTGGCGTTGCGGCCCTCAAGGCCTCTCTGCTGCTCTCAAACCTCAAGCCTTGGCTTACTTCTTTCTCTGCTTGCACGGTTGTCGGGGTGAATTGCCACCCACCCCCTCCTTCCCTCCCTCCCTCCACCCTCCCTTCCACAGGTCTCCCTGGCAACCCCAGGTGGCGTTGCGGCCCTCAAGGCCTCTCTGCTGCTCTCAAGCCTCAAGCCTTGGCTTACTTCTTTCTCTGCTTGCACGGTTGTCGGGGTGAATTGCCACCCACCCCCCTCCTTCCCTCCCTCCCTCCACCCTCCCTTCCACAGGTCTCCCTGGCAACCCCAGGTGGCGTTGCGGCCCTCAAGGCCTCTCTGCTGCTCTCAAGCCTTCCGAGTCACATTGCCAACTGAACCCTCTTCCTCCCTCTCCATTCTCGTTCCGCGCTCCATCCCCAGGTGTCCCTGGCAACGCCAGGGGGCGTTGCGGCCCTCAAGGCCTCTCTGCTGCTCTCAAGCCTTCCGAGTCACATTGCCAACTGAACCCTCTTCCTCCCTCTCCATTCTCGTTCCGCGCTCCATCCCCAGGTGTCCCTGGCAACGCCAGGGGGCGTTGCCGCCCTCAAGGCCTCTCTGCTGCTCTCAAGCCTTCCGAGTCACATTGCCAACTGAACCCTCTTCCTCCCTCTCCATTCTCGTTCCGCGCTCCATCCCCAGGTGTCCCTGGCAACGCCAGGGGGCGTTGCCGCCCTCAAGGCCTCTCTGCTGCTCTCAAGCCTTCCGAGTCACATTGCCAACTGAACCCTCTTCCTCCCTCTCCATTCTCGTTCCGCGCTCCATCCCCAGGTGTCCCTGGCAACGCCAGGGGGCGTTGCCGCCCTCAAGGCCTCTCTGCTGCTCTCAAGCCTTCCGAGTCACATTGCCAACTGAACCCTCTTCCTCCCTCTCCATTCTCGTTCCGCGCTCCATCCCCAGGTGTCCCTGGCAACGCCAGGGGGCGTTGCCGCCCTCAAGGCCTCTCTGCTGCTGTCAAGCCTTCCGAGTCACATTGCCAACTGAACCCTCTTCCTCCCTCTCCATTCTCGTTCCGCGCTCCATCCCCAGGTGTCCCTGGCAACGCCAGGGGGCGTTGCAGCCCTCAAGGCCTCTCTGCTGCTCTCAAGCCTTCCGAGTCACATTGCCAACTGAACCCTCTTCCTCCCTCTCCATTCTCGTTCCGCGCTCCATCCCCAGGTGTCCCTGGCAACCCCAGGGGGCGTTGCCGCCCTCAAGGCCTCTCTGCTGCTAGCTGCCGAAGCCGCACTACGGGACGAATCCGCCCGCCCGCTGCTCGGCATCTGCTGCGGCAGTGTGGAGGAGGGCTTTGCTGCCCTCCGCCAGTACCTGCTCGCCCTTGGCTGTGCTGACCCTGTAAGTCCTAGTGCAATTGTGAGTGCTCCTTCTGCCTCCCACTCTCACGCACTGTGGAGGAGGGCTTTGCCTCTCTCCGCCAGTACCTGCTGGCCCTGGGCTGTGCCGACCCTGTGAGTGCTGGTTACCCTGTTACCCTGTGATTGCACTGGACCTGGTTACCGCGTTACCACGTGAGTGCAAGGCAGTGTGGAGGAGGGCTTTGCCTCTCTCCGCCAGTACCTGCTGGCCCTCGGCTGTGCTGACCCTGTGAGTGCTGGTTACCCTGTTACCCTGTTGGTGGGTCAGTATGCGCATGGATGTGCACGCATTGGCACTCTGTAGTCGACTCGCCAGTGTTGAGGAGGGCTTTGCCTCTCTCCGCCAGTACCTGCTCGCCCTCGGCTGTGCTGACCCTGTGAGTGTTGGTTACCATGTTACCCTGCAAGTGCCGTTGCTGTGTGTCTTTGCCCCTCTCCGCCAGTACCTGCTCGCCCTTGGCTGCGCTGACCCTGTGAGTGCTGGTTACCGTGTTACCCTGTGAGTGCTGGTTGCCCTGTTACCCTGTGCTGGTTACCCTGTTACCCTGTGCTGGTTACCCTGTTACCCTGTGAGTGCAAGGCAGTGTGGAGGAGGGTTTTGCCGCCCTCCGCCAGTACCTGGTCGCCCTGGGCTGTGCTGACCCCGTGAGTGCAGGTTACCCCGTTACCTTGTGAGTGCTGGTTGGTTACCCTTAGCGTGCTGGTTACCCTATTACCACAAGGCAGTGTGGAGGAGGGCTTGGCCACCCTCCGCCGGTACCTGCTCGCCCTTGGTTGTGCTGACCCTGTGAGTCGGTTTGGGTGGCGACCGTGTGGTGGGGATCGTATGGTGGCGTGGCAGGCAAAGCACGTTAAGAAGGTGGAGAGTTCGGAGAATTCTCACAAGAGAACTAGCCTGGAAACCCCCTTCTGATGTTTTCGTACCCCTCTCGACCACAATGTGATGGAGCCGTGCACGCTCTGGTGAGTCAGCCCGGGGGGCTGCTGGTGGCATGGAAGCCCAAGCAATCTTCACAAGCAACCCGAAACCCCTTTCCACCGTTCCGTACCCCACTCAACCACTTCTTGTTGGAACCAAGCAGGCTCTGATGGATCAGCCTGTTGGGCTGCTGGTGGCGTGGCAGGCCAAGCACGGCACGCTAAGGAAGGAGGTGGTGAATTTGGAGAATTTGTTGGAACCAACTGGTTGTCCGCCCTTCCAACCCCTTTCCACCGTTCCGCCGAGCCAAGCAGGCTCTCATGGATCAACCTGGGGGCCTGCTGGTGGCATGGCAGGTCAAAAGCATGCCAAGGAGGTGGAGGATCAGGAGAATTCGTTGAGATTAACCTGTTGTCTGGCCTTCCAACCACTTTCCACCGTTCCGTGCCAAGCATGCTCTGTTGGATCAACCGGGTGGGCTGCTGGTAGCATGGCAGGCAAAGCACGCCAAGGAGTTGGTTGGGCCCGATAACATAAAGCTCAACTGTACCTCCAACCAAGCCAAACCCGTTTTCACCATTTCATACCTCCCCAATCACTGGCATTGAATTGAACCAAGCAGGCTCTCATGGATCAACCTGGGGGACTACTGGAGGCATGGCAAGCCAAGCACGCCAAGGAGTTGGTGGGCCCGGCCCGCTTGCAACAAGGTCAACAGTAATTCCAAACCTCTTTCCACCGTTTTGTACCCCTCACAACCGCAACTTGTTTGACGCAAGCAGGCTCTTATGGATCAACCTGGGGGGCTGCTGGTTTCATGGCAGGCAAAGCACGGCAAGGAGGTGGTGGGGCCAGCTTACATCAAGTTTAATAGTAACTCTAAGGTGCGTTGCTAGTGTATTGATAGAAAAGTATTAACAGAATGGAGTTCACTAGGGCAGGCCAAGCACGCCAAGGAGGTGGTGGGGCCTGCTTACATCAAGTTCAACAGCAACCCCAAGGTGTGTGTGTGTGGTGCCGTTATACCGAGTCATGCCATCAAACGATGCTCATCGGGACAAGCCATACATGCCAAGGAGGTGGTTGGGCCTGCTTACATCAAGTTCAACAGCAACTCCAAGGTTCGTTGCTAGTGTATCGATAATAAATTATTAACCAGATGGTGTTCACTAGGACAAGCCAAGCACGGCAAGGAGGTGGTGGGGCCTTAATACATCAACTTCAACAGCAACTCCAAGGTGCGTTCTCTGCTGCCAGTTTCCTATTCCCTTAGAATAAATTACTGGGGAATCTCAAGCCGTGAGTAAGACAATAGATGTTCGACTCTCTCTGCTGCACTTGTGCTGCTCTTCTCCACACAAGTGCATGCCAAGGTGCTTTCTGTGTTTCTTGCTGTGCTTTGCAGACAAGGGTCACCATGCCAAACAGGGACGTTCTTTTGTCCGACCTTCAGGCATGCGCTGGGCTGCTCACCGCGTGATAAAAGTAACATCTTGAGACGTGTCAAAATGTTACTTTAATCACGTGCCTCTCTATTCCTCTCCCAAACCTCGGATGTTCCTGTGCTTTGCCCCATGGGTGGGTGCCGTGCCGTGCAGACATGCCAAGTGACGCCATACCAGACAGGACCGTTTTGAGGAGTGATTGTTCAGGTGGTTTCTCTGCTGCTCAATTTGTGTCACTACTCCTCGCGTCCGTCACTCCTTCGCCCCATGCATGCCATGCAGACGTGCCAAGTCTCGCCATACCAGGCAGGGAGGTTCTGAGGAGTCATCTTCAGGGTTGGACTCTGTTGCTCACTTTGTGTCTCTCTATTCCCACCACCACCCCCCCATTGCTCTGTTACTCCTATGGTTGATGTGCAGACGTGCCAAGTGTCGCCATACCAGACAGGGACGTTCCGAGGAGTGATTGTTCAGGTGCTCACCAGCCCTCCTCCTCATTCTGCCGTTCCCACTCGCTGCCCTTTCCTTGTCCAGCCATTCACTTTCCAGCCCTCCTTCTCGTTCTGCCGTTCCTACTCGCTCTCCTTTCCTTGTCCAGCCATTCCCTGTTTCAACCCTCCTTCTATTTCTACCCTTCCCCCTCGCTGCTATTTCCCGGCCCGGCCATTCCCTTTGCAGCCCCCCTTCTCTTTCTACCTTTCCCCCTTGCTGCTTTTCACCAATCCAACCATTCTGTTCCCCACTACTCTCATGCTCCTTCCCATTTCCGTTTCCTCTTCCCCACAACCCCGCCCACGTGTTATCAATCCGCCCATTCCTATCCAGTCCCATTCCGTATTATGCTATCGCTGATTACCTGCTTTTCCTTCCTCAATCCCTCACTGCCTTCCCTTCACTGCCTTCCCCTCACTGCCTTCCCCTCACTGCCTTCCCCTCATTGCCTTCCCCACACTGTCCTCCTCTCATTGCCTTCCCGCACTGTCCTCCTCTCACTGTCCAATCCTACGAGCTAGATCGTATCGTACTCCAATGATCACTGCCTAGTATAAATTTTATTCCTCTAATAGTACTTCTCATCATTGTTATTATTCGTATTTTGCTTTTTGCATCGTTATTATTACTACGACTATTCAGTGCTCTCCGCCTGCCCTCACCCCTCCTCCTCCCCACAAAGCTTGGTCGCAGGCAAGTGGGGCACCCCCCATTGTCGCTCTTCCCATAGCTTTAAGTTGCCTGTTCACTCTCACATAGCTCCCACATGCCACTCTCCCCGACGCCACTTCAAGTGATGAAAGTAGCTTCGGTCGACGACCCCCATGCTCACGCAGCCCTCTCATGATGTTCTTCTACCCTCACTCCCCCCCATTCCTCCCCTCACAGCTCGGTCGCCAGCAAGTGGGCCACTTCCTTCCCGTAGCCACCGCAGCTTCAAGTGACGAGCCTTATGCTCATGCAGCCTTTTCATTCCGTGGATCATCTTCTCCTTCACCCTCCCTCCTCGCCTTGCAGCTCGGTCGCCGACGAGTGGGTGGTTCATCTCCCGCTCTTCCTCTTTCCAGGGTAACTGGAAGTTCAAGTTTCAAACCCCATTCTCACAGACTGCTGTCCCTCTCCCATCACCCCCTTCTCGCCGCACAGCTCGGTCGCAGGCAAGTGGGTCACCTCCCGCTCTCCCTCTTCCCGTAGTCACTGCAGCTTCATTTGATTGCTATTGTTATTGGCCCTATTATACAGCTCCCTCTCTCTACCCTCACTTCCTGTCCTCCCCTCACAGCTCGGTCGCAGGCAAGTGGGCCACCTCCCACTCTCCCTCTTCCCGTAGTCACCGCAGCTTCAAAGTGCAAATCCCATCTGCATGCGCCGCTCTCATGCCCTTCTCATGCCGCTCTCATGCCCCTCTCATGCCGCTCTCATGCCGCTCTCATGCCGCTCTCATGCCGCTCTCATGCCGCTCTCATGCCCCTCTCATGCCGCTCTCATGCCGCTCTCATGCCCCTCTCATGCCCCTCTCATGCCGCTCTCATGCCCCTCTCATGCCGCTCTCATGCCCCTCTCATGCCCTTCCTGCGATGGGGCCAGGGGGTCATCTCCCTATCCTCTTCCCGTAGTCACCGCGCAAACGCCAGAGGCCCTCAATTGGGCGGCCATTGCCATTGGGTCTGGTCTAGTTGTTCCCACTTTACAAGCCCTAAGAGTGGAGCGGGCATGGCTTGTATTCTTCCCTCCGAGCATCTCTGTGGTCTGGTGGGCTTCGGTTCGGTGGTACGCAGTGATTTTCAGTAAAATGCTGTTTGGGTATCCATGTCATTTCTAGAATGCTAGTGGTTTTTTTCCGCATGTTTGGGATTCTTACTGTAAGGCATTTTTGCTCAAATATTATAAACAAAAAAAGCGCACAAATGGAAGTACTTGTTATGCCTAACAGTGGAGAAATAAACTGGGCCTGGACATAATCATGTAGCTGCACAAGATGGCACAGCATCTTTATCGAGATGCAAGGACCATTGCAGTAATTTGCTTGCATGAGACACCTTTCTTCCCACACCATTCCTACCTACTTTCCCCTGCCCTTCCCCCTCATCCCACCTCGTCTTCCCCTCCCTCCACGCCCTTACGGTGACCACCCCCCACGCCCACCTCCCCCCTGCCCCCCACTCCCTCCCCCTCTTCCACCTGCTTCCCCCCCTCTCCCCCCTCCCCCACGACCCCTCCCCCTTCCCCTCCCCCTCCCCCTCCCCCCTCCTCTACCGCGCCCAAAGCCTCTCCCCCTGCTGCCCTCATAACCACCCCCGACAAAGGCTGGGAGGGGAGAGGGAGGATCGGAATGGGTTGAACAGCAAGAGTGAGTATGCAGGGATGAGAGTTCACAACATGGTAATGTCACAAGATGTGAATATGCACAATGCGAAGCCTCTCTCGCAAAAGAGGGACTGAAAGGAAGGCAAGGGACCTAAAGCAAGCCGAGGTGGCAGGAGAGTAGGTAGGGAAAGAGGTAGGAGAGGCAGTGAGAAAGGAGGAGGAGCACTCACTGTCATCGGGCTCCTCCCCAACCTCCTTGCGATACCAATCCACATCATCCTCCTCCAAGATTCGGTTAAAGCAGGGAATGTAATGGACTTTAGCAAGCAGAGGAGCTAGGACGGAAGGAGAAGCACTCACTGTCATCAGGCTCCTCGCCGACCTCCTTGCGATACCAATCCACATCATCCTCCTCCTCCTCACCCCCCTCCCCATCTCTCAGACCCACAAATATTTCAAGCTGATGTTATATAAGAAACTTACTGTCATCGGGCTCTTCCCCAACCTCCTTGCGATACCAGTCCACATCATCCTGCATGTTACTGTTAACAGATGACGATTCAAGCTGCGTGTACATCTTTGTTAGTAGAGGAGGAAAACCACTCACTGTCATCGGGTTCTTCCCCAACCTCCTTGCGGTACCAGTCCACATCATCCTCCTCCTCCCCGTCCACCCCCTCCCCGTCCCTCGCCCCCACTGCCTTCCCTTGCTCCCCCTCCTCACCCTCCTCCTCGCCGTCCTCCCCCCCAGCTCCCTTGCCCTTGGATGCCTTGAGCCTGGCGGTAGGAACAGGGGGTGGAGAAGGGTTGAGGAGGGTAGGGACGCAGGTTGATAAGAGTCTTTCCCTCTTGATTTCCTATGAACCTGATTGTCGTCCTCTCCTCTCCAGCTATCCTTGGATGCCTTGAGCCTGGCGGTAGGAACAGGGGGTGGAGAAGGGTTGAGGAGGGTAGGGACGCAGGTTGATAAGAGTCTTTCCCTCTTGATTTCCTATGAACCTGATTGTCGTCCTCTCCTCTCCAGCTATCCTTGGATGCCTTGAGCCTGGCGGTAGGAACAGGGGGTGGAGAAGGGTTGAGGAGGGTAGGGACGCAGGTTGATAAGAGTCTTTCCCTCTTGATTTCCTATGAACCTGATTGTCGTCCTCTCCTCTCCAGCTATCCTTGGATGCCTTGAGCCTGGCGGCAGGAAAAAGGGGTGGACAAGAGCTGAGATGCAGGAGATTGAGAGAACTTGTTTTCTCTTTTTCCTCTTCCTCCCCATCATCCCCCCCATCTGCATTGTACTTCGATGCCTTTTCGCTCGCTGATAGTAGACTGAAAGTAGCTCGCTTCTCGCTTTAAGGGCCATCTCCCCACCTTTGGGCGCCATCACATAAACTTCTCACCCCACCCTCCCCCAGACTTCCCCCACACACACACCTCTTTCATCCTCACATGTGCCTCCTGCTCCTCCCTGTCTCCCATTCCCTTGGGATCTCCCCACTCACATCTTCTTCCTCCGCACGTTTGCCTCCTGCTTCACTGATCTCCTTCTGAGGCGCCTCAAAACTTTTGAGGCGACTTTTGAGGCGCCTCGAAAATCCTCACTCACATCATCTTTCTCCACACGTTGGCCTCCTGCTTCACTGATCTCCTTCTGATCGCCTTGGACCTCCAATATCACCCCAACCCTCTCGCTACCCCTGCTCCCATGCTCCTACCTCCCTTAAAATTCCCCACTCACATCTTTTTCCTCCGCACGTTTGCCTCCTGCTCCTCCTTCCGCCTCTTCTTCTCTCTCTGCCGCTCCTCAGCCCTCCGCTGCAATTCTGCCTCCTCCTCCGCTGTCTTTTCCACTGGAGGAGGAGAAAGGGGGGAAAAAGAGAGAGGGGGGTTAAGGAAAGGGTGGGAGAGATGAGAAGATCTTCTTCGTGGCAGAGGTGAGGACAGACGATCCTCGTTGCTGCCCGCTCCTCTGCCCTCCGCTGCAACTCCGCCTCTCCTCCTCCTCCTCCTCCTCCTCCTCCTCCTCCTCCTCCTCCTCCTCCTCCTCCTCCTCCTCCTCCTCCTCCTCCTCCTCCTCCTCCTCCTCCTCCTCCTCCTCCTCCTCCTCCTCCTCCTCCTCCTCCTCCTCCTCCTCCTCCTCCTCCTCCTCCTCCTCCTCCTCCTCCTCCTCCTCCTCCTCCTCCTCCTCCTCCTCCTCCTCCTCTGCTGTTCTCTCAACCAAAGGAGAGGAGAGACCAAGGCGGAAAGAAGGGGGGTCCATGGAGTATATGTGACCTTGCTGTGAAACAGACGCATGGCCTCCTTCCCCTCCCCGTCCCTTCACCCTCCCCTCATCCACCCTCCTCAGCCTTCCCTTGCTGCATCCCCCTGCAAGGAGACGACGCATACTTCCCCACGCTCCCACCCTCTCACTCCGCTCACCCCCCTATCCACACTCCCTTTTTTGAGCCTCACACCCGTCTCATCCCCCTATCCGAAGCTCCCTCTCCCCCCCCCCCCCCCCTGTCCCTCTTGCTCACCGAATTGGTGGTGCATGACAGTGCCACTAATTTTGAGACGCCTCAAAAAAAGACGCTGGACAGCCCCTCCTCCACCTTCAAACGAAGGCATACCCACGTCCCCCCTTCCATTCCGCATCCCCTGATTTTCTCCCCATCCCCCACCCCCACACTCACCGAATCGTCTCTAAAACCCCCCGCTCACCGAATCGGTGGTACATGACAGCGCCGCTGGACATCCCCTCCTCCACCTTCCCTTGCTGCATCACCTTACACGAGCGGGCACATCCCCTTCGTTTTCTTCCCAACCTCCATTCTCCCTCCCCTCCCCTTTCGCTCACCGAATCGGTGGTACATGACAGCGCTGTTGGACAGCCCTTCTTCCACCTTACTTTGCTGCATCGCCTCCCCTCTTACCCCCCTTTTCTCCCCCTCTCCCAACCTCCCCCCGCCTACTCCCTCAACCCTCCACACTCACCGGGTCGGTGGTACATGACAGCACCGTTGGACAGCCCCTCCTCCACCTTCACCAGTAGCAGCATCACCTGTAGACACCTTTCTCCCCATTTCCCCTTTCTCACTACAATGACCCCCCTCCCCTTTCTCTCACCGAATCGGTGGTACATGACAGCGCCGCTGGACATGCCCTCCTCCACCTTGACCAGTAGCAGCGCCTTGCTACCTACGAGGCGCATCACCTGCACTCTCCCGTTCTCTCCCCATTTCCCCTTTCTCACTACAATGACCCCCCTCCCCTTTCTCTCACCGAATCGGTGGTACATGACAGCGCCGCTGGACATGCCCTCCTCCACCTTGACCAGTAGCAGCGCCTTGCTACCTACGAGGCGCATCACCTGCACTCTCCCGTTCTCTCCCCATTTCCCCTTTCTCACTACAATGACCCCCCTCCCCTTTCTCTCACCGAATCGGTGGTACATGACAGCGCCGCTGGACATGCCCTCCTCCACCTTCACCAGTAGCATCGTCGCCTTACATGCAAACTCATCACATGCAGGCACTCCCCCCTTCTCTTTCCATTCCACATCATCTCCGCACCCCCCAGACCCCCACTCACCGAATCGGTGGTACATCACAGCACCACTGGACATGCCCTCCTCCACCTTGACCAGTAGCAGCGTGACACGTGGCCCCAGCTCGTGCAGCTTCACCTGGCTCTGCTGCGCCGCCCACACGCCCCGCCCCATGTCCTGGGGGGCTTGCACCCTGCTGCTTTCATCTGCTTCGCTGTCTGATGGGTACGCTGCCGGCCTGTTTGTAAGAGAGAGGGTAGTGAGGGTACAAACGAGAGGCAACAAAAATAGATGCACTGACCGCCCGCATGCCCCGCCCGCATGTGCTGAGGCGCCTGCAATCTGCTGCCGTTGACCGCCTCACTGTCGGATGGATAAGATGCACCAAGAACCTACCTTGTTACCATTTCCTACGTCACAACGAGCCTTTACCTTATAACGACCTCACCTCACAACAAGTCCTCCTCACCTTGTAACGAGTTCACGAATGTCAGAAAGGTGGCTGAGGTTGGGCAGTGCGTGGAGGTGCATCAGATTGCGTAGCAGAGGCAATTCGTATCTTGTAATGAGACTTTACCTTATAGCGAGCTCGTACCTTGTAACGAGTTCACTGATATCGGAGAGGTGACTGAGGTTGGGCAGAGCGTGGTGATGCACTAGATTGCGCAGCGGCTTCGACACTCCTAACTGTATAACGTTACCTTACAACGAGCTTGTACCTAGTAACGAGTTCACTAATGTCAGAGAGGTGGCTGAGGTTGGGCAGAGCGTGGTGATGCACCAGATTGCGCAGCGGCTTTGAAACTCCCACGGGGCGCGCTGTGATAGCATAATGGCGCAGGTCAATAGTCCCACTAGCAGGGTCGTGGTTCAGGAGCAGGACACGCCTGCAATCGGATAGTTTCACCTGGTGCGGTGGAGGGGGAAAGGAATGGGGAAGGGTTGGAGGGCGGTGATGGCACAGTGGCGCAGGTCGATAGTGCCACTGGCAGGGTCGTCGTTTAGGAGCAGCACTCGGCGACAGTCTGACAGTTTCACCTGATGCAAGGGGAGGGATGGAGGAAAGAACAAGAGGGGATTTAGGCTTTTGTACTCCCACAGGGCTTTCAAACAAGAGGGGCGGGCGGAGATGGCGTCAATGTTCATCGTGGAGTAGCTGCAAACCTGTAGAAAACTCTTAAGCAAAAGGATCAAGACTGTGAAACTGATTCCCAAAAGACTCAAGAAAATCTCACAACCACCAAACTCAGAAAAACAAGAGGGGCGGGCGGAGATGGCGTAGTGGCGCAGGTCAGTGGTGCCACTCGCAGGGTCGTGGTTGAGGAGAAGCCCTCTTGAGAATTCTCAGAACGCACGCAATCAGAGAAGGAGGAAAAGAGACGGGATGGGACGAGCGTGCCTTGCAGTGCAGCGGAGCATGTCAGTGGTGCCAGTTGGTAGGATGCGGTTCAGGACAGGAGGGACGATGATGTGATGGTGTTTCGGGCAACGAGAGTCACAAGCTTCAGATTCTTCTTCTGGTCTGATTCGTCAGATCTGGGAGTATTAGGCTTGGTAAAAAGTCGCATCGCACACATGCATACAACTAATCTCTTGTCCCAACGCACGCACACTACAACTACTCCTGGTTCGCTCCAAGTGGAGACGTTATGTTATGAGCTTCAGATGCTGTGATAAGAGTTGGTTTGTTCAGAACACACTTATATGAAGTGTAATTGAATAACCAATCACAGACATCAGGTGCACTCACAGTGGAGACGTTGATGGGTTGGAACATGTTCTGGAACATGATGGTCATCAGCTTCAGATGCTCCAATGTGTTGTAACGACTTACAAGAGACAAAGAGACATAGGTGGAGGGTGCGTGCGTGCGTGTGGTGCTATAGCTGCCCTGAGCACTCACAGTGGAGACGTTGATGGGTGGGAACATGTTCTGGAACATGATAGTCATCAGCTTCAGATGCTGTGATGAGTCGGTTCAAGAGAGACACGGAGACATGGTGTGTGAAGGGACAGCCGCATGTTACCCACTCACAGTGGAGACGTTGATGGGAGGAACATGTTCTGAAACATGATGGTCATCAGCTTCAGATGCTTCATATGTGAGTCGATTCAGGCACAGGACCATTGTGTGTGTGTGAAGGGACAGCCGCATGTTACCCACTCACAGTGGAGACATTGATAGGCGGAAACATGTTCTGGAACATGATGGTCATGTGAGGCTCAGATGCTGTTACGGGCCACTTTGAACAGTCTACCGGGTGTGTGCATGCTGCCGAAACTGCACTTACGGTGGAGACGTTGATGGGAGGGAACATGTTCTGAAACATGATGGTCATCAGCTTCAGATGCTCCGTGCCCTTGCCGATGGCTCCCATGCCATTCATCACCACCTGATCGCATGTGGTGAGGGTGGGGGAGAAGGGGGGACACATGCACACACGCCCACTATAGGCTCTCCAGAAGCTTCAGATGCTCCGTCTCCCTGAAACTTGCTCCCGTGTCTTGTAAGGCACAAACAAAAGACTAGACCAACTGAGCTATTCCATGTCCCTTTCTTCACCAAACCCCGAACCCTGAACCCAGATTACAATTTACACACCCCGAACCCTGAACCCGGATTGCAAACCCCAAACCCTGAACCCAGATTACAAACCACGCTCCCTTCTCATCCCCCCCGCTCTCCCTCCTTCTCACCAGTGGCGGCGACTCAAACACGCCAGCTGGCACATACGGGCGCCTCTGGGACTTTGCCACGTCAGCAGCGAGGGAGTAGTCGAGGATGCGGAAGGTGAGCGTGGGTCCACGTGGCGTGCGCGCAACACGCAGGTAGGGTGACACGTCAGACTTGGAGAGCATGAGGAAGTGCGTCACGCCCAGAGGGCCTGCCACGTGGAGGAAATCCTTGAGGGTGTTTTTCCTTGATTCCTGGAGCGGGGTTTCGGGTTTAAGGGGGATAATTCAAGAGTAAGGTACGGTGGGAGAGCATGAGGAAGTTCTTCACGCCCAGAGGGCCTGCCACGTGGAGGAAATCCTTCAGGGTGTTTTTCCTAGATTCCTGGAGGGGGGAAAAGGGTTTAAGGTAAAAAACTCTGGGTTTAGGGGTTCGTGAGGAAGTGAGTGACGCCCAGCGAGCCTGCCACGTGGAGGAATCTCTTGAGGATGCTGCGCCTAAATTCCTGGAGAGGGATATTCGGGGTTCAGGGTTCAGGAGATTGGAGAGGACGGGAGGGGCGGCATTAGAGGCGAGCGCAAGGGAAGGCGAGATGGCAAGGGCGCGAGGGGACGGAGAGGAAATGGCCGAGAGCGTATTATTAGGTTTCTCAAAAGCGTTGCGCGCTTGCAGGAAGAGAGGCGTGGAGATGGCTCGCGCAGGGGGGAGTGGGGGGGAAGGAGAGGGGGGAGACGGGGGAGGGGGGAAGGGGGAGTGGGGGGAGAGGAAAATCGGGAGAAGCGGGAAGAGGCACGCGGTCGCGCGAGGGCGCACCTTGAGCTTGAGCGCGGTGAATGGCAGAACCATTTTCCGCATGTCCTGCACGAGGCGCTTGAGGAAGATGTTGCGAAGACTTAACTCAACGGTCACCTGGGTTTCTCACTAGGTGTTTCGTTTCTCACAAGCAGCGAACCTTGAGTTTGAGAGCGGTGAAAGGGAGCAGCATCTTCCGCATGTCCTGCACGAGGCGCTTCAAGGGACTGCTGAGACGACTCAACGGTCACCTACTGGGTTTCTCACTAGGCGTTTCGTTTCCCACAAGCAGCGAACCTTGAGTTTGAGAGCGGTGAAGGGGAGAAGCATCTTCCGCATGTCCTGCACGAGGCGCTTCAAGAGGATGTTGACCTTCCCGCGCGTGAACATCATGGTCCGCGGAACCTTCTCGTCCGGGGCCATCTGCGCCGCCGCCTCCTCCTCCTTCCCCGCCTGCGCCGCCCGCCGCTTGCTCTCCTTCGTCTTGCGCCGCGCCATCGCGGATCTTTACTCGGCGCGCAGGGAGAATGTGCGAGCGGGTCACACTTCACTAGACGCGACGAGGGGAAGCACTGACAGGGCACGCTTTACTCGGCGCGCAGAGGGAACTACCTAACGGGGCACCGGACGCGTGCGAATCGTCTTGGGTGAAGCGAATCGCGAAATGTGTGTGTTTTTTGCAGGTCAACTGCGGCTACTACAGCAAGGAATATTGCTCTAGGCGGCGACGCTGCTAACTTGCTAAAAAGACCAGAAAATGGAGTGCGAGTTGTCGACTCGGGAAAGGCTGTTGAAGCGTATGGAGTGCACAGCGCGGATCTAAAAACCACTAAGCACGGTGAGTATGTTCTAAGCACTAAGCACTTGATCAGCCGCAAGGACATGTACAGCCACCTGCATAAACCTGTCGAAGGAGGTGGCTTGCGAGGGCATGAGTGGAGGGGGGCTTGTACCTGCGAGAAATTCTTGGAGACAAGCGTCGGTGCAGATGACTTTTGACCGGTAAGGCTCGATAGGGCTCAGGCACTTACTCGATACAGTTGTGAAATGTTTTCGCGATTGTTGGAAATTTGTTACGATTGCAATTAAGTGAATGACTAGGGTGAGAAAATGAACAAATACATTTCCACAAAACTTAAAACAACTCATAACAAATATGTCCTTGTAGCAGAAGCGGAGTGTCACCAAATCGAGCCATTCACCAGCCATGCTTTCGCTGCGCCAGCCGCGTCGCCACCATTAGCGCGCTTATAGCGGCGGACAGAGCCATTCGAGAACCCCGCCGCCTGAGCATGGATTTCGAGTCATAGCAGAACACTTAGGGTTTTCAGCGCATGTCTCTGAGGCAAGTCCTTGTCATCTGATTGACGTGCAATAGACCCGAGCGGCGCGGCTCGGCGGTGAAACCAAGGCGAGGCCATGATCACGTTCTCGCGGCAAGCAATCCCGCAGCCGCTGTCCGCGAAAGCTTAGTATTCTGCCTTGACTTGATTCCGGGTGACTTTTGAGTCGACTCAAAAGTCACCTCGCAGCAAGCAATCCCGCAGCCGCTGTCCGCGAAAGCTTGGTATTCTGCCTGGACTTGATTCCGGGTGATCTCGGGGTAGAGTGCGGGGAGGAACATGGCTGGCGAAACTGGCGACGTTCGCGAAGGTTTTGATTGGGTCCGCGAAGAGCTCGTACGCGTGTTGAAGAGCAGGCGACGGCCGCTCGAGGGTGAGATGCGGGAATTCGACGGGGAAGTTTCGAGGAAGGGCTGGAAGGGAGCGAGCGGAGAAAGGGAGGGAAACGAGGCTGAGAAGGAAGAACGGGATAGGGAAGGAGTGCAAGAGTCAGGGGAAAAGAAGAGGATAGGGAAAAAAGAGGCTGAAGGGGAACGCGAATAGTCGCTTGGGACGAGATTGTCCCGTATATTCGTGGCATTGATGCCGTATAGAATACTTTTCTGTCAATGGTTCTGAGCCGATGCACTGGTAAGCTTGCATCATGCCACCACCCCATCATGCGATGATGGCATTCACGCCGTTCATCCCCGCTACAAGTACCACACTGCTCCATACCACGCCTCAAGCTGGCTCCGTGATTCCGATTTTCTCAAAACCATCATGCCATCACGCCAGCATGACACCATGCCAGCATGACACCATGCCAGCATGACACCATGCCAGCATGACACCATGCCAGCATGACACCATGCCAGCATGACACCATGCCAGCATGACACCATGCCAGCATGACACCATGCCAGCATGACACCACGCCAGCATGACACCACGCCAGCATGACACCATGCCAGCATGACACCATGCCAGCATGACACCAAGCCAGCATGACACCATGCCATCATGACACATCCCCCCTTCCCTTCGTCCGTCTCTATTGGCTGCAGTTCCTGGATATTTGGAGGCGAGCCGGCAGGAGAGCAGCGAGACACTGGCAGGTGCGATTGTAGGGAAGTGTGTTTGTGGGAAGGGTGATGGTCGGAGCAATGGTGATTGTGGGAAGAGTGATTGTGGGAAGGGTGATTGTGGGAAGGGTGATTGTGGGAGGGGTGATTGTGGGAGGGGTGATTGTGGGAAGGGTGATTGTGGGAAGGGTGATTTTGGGAAGGGTGATGGTCGGGGCTATGGTGATTGTGGGATCCCAAGTATGCATAGGAAGATGCTTCTCACCTTCGTTTTTCACATGAATTGCATGATGCTCTGCATCTCCTCTCGCATCTCCCCTCTCTTCTCCTCTCCTCTCTCTCCCTTCCTCTCTCGTCCCCTCTCCTTTCGCTTTCTCTGCGCTTCCCCCTCAACTCTCGCAACAGCATTCCGGTATCCACTTGCTGACAAGGCACTCTCTCCTCTCCTCACTTCCCCTCACTTGCTGCACATCCATCTCTTTCAGATCTTGTGCGTCAAGAGATTGATCTGCTTACTGAGGTAACGACCCTTGAGACGCCTCAACACTCTCTCTTCTCCTCCCTTCCCCTCACACCTTTTTACTTCGCACCCCCACCCTTTCAGACGGCCGCATCCTTGTGTGTCAAGAGATTGACCTGCTTACCGAGGTAACGGCTTTTGAGGCGTTTCAACATTCTATTCTCTCCTCTCCTCCGTTACCCTCACCTGCTTCGCATCCCTCCTTTCCAGATGGTCGCATCCTCGTGTGTCAAGACATTGATCTCCTTACCGAGGTAACGCTTGGGGAGAGAGCAGGTGCGTTCGGGTTAGTGGTGAAACGAGTGGCACTCACCTGTTCTTTCCTACCTTTTACATTCCCAACGCACCCTGCACTCTTGGCTTGTCGAACCGAGTCAGACCTGTCAAGCTTTGCATACGCTTCCCCTGCACCTGTTTGTGTCTCCATCCTTTCCGTTTTCTCCCTTCTTCCCACCTGTCCTCTCCTCCTGCCGCTGCCTTCAACCCTCGTGTCCCTTCTTCCCACCTCTCACTCCTCCCCTCATGCTACCTGAAGCCCTTGCGCCCCTGTCTTCCCACCCACCTCCTCCCCTCTTCCTCGCCTGCCTCCCCTCCCCTTACCCCCTTTCTCCCCTCCGCACGCACGAGTGCATGCTACAGGAGGGCGAGCAGGGCCGCATGCCTGTCACTATAATGAGTCTGCTTGTACCGGAGCACAACAATACAGAGAAGGAGCAGGTGGAAGGGCATGGGCGGAGGGCGGCAGTGATCCTACTGCACAGCACGGGCAAGAGCAAAGAGGCTCTGCTGGAGAGACAGAAGGTGCGTGGGTGGGTGCTTGTTTTGTTTGTAGGTTTTGAGCCGTCTCAAACGCCACACCAGGAGCAGGCAGAGGGGCAAGGAAGGAGGGCGGCAGTGATCCTGCTGCACAGCACGGGCAAGAACAAAGAGGCTCTGCTCGAGAGACAGAAGGTGCGTGGGGTGGGGTGGGGTGGGGTGGGGTGGGGTGGGGTGGGGTGGGGTGGGGTGGGGTGGGTGCTTGCCATTGACTTTTGAGACGTTGCAAAAGCCATCAGCAGCATCAGCATCAGCATCAGCAGCAGCAGCAGCAGGCGGAGGGGCATGGGAGGAGGGCGGCAGTGATCCTACTGCACAGCACGGGCAAGAGCAAAGAGGCGCTGCTCGAGAGGCAGAAGGTGGGTGGGTGGGCGGGTGGGTGGGTGCTTGCGATTGAGTGTTGAGACGTGCCACCTGCCCCATGCTCCCCTTTACTTGCAGGACCTGGCGTGCCTCAATCTCATCGCCATCACGTGTGCCCTTCGTTACCATGCCCCCCTGCTTCACCTCTTTTCACCACTTTCCACCCCTCTGCGTGCAGGAACTGGCGTGCCTCAATCTCATCGCCATCACATGTGACCTTCGCTACCATGGCGCACGTGCCTCCTCTCCTTCTGCGTACTCCGATGTATGTTGGACCCATGTTTCCCGCCTTCTCTCTACCCCCAGTTCCAATTTCTCGTCTTCCCACCCTCCTTCCCCCCCACCTCCATCCTCTGCCCGTTCTTCCGGAGTTTCTCTTCTGTGCTGTTCTCTTTCAAACTCTGTCTCTCAATGCAAGCTCCCAACTTCAATAGTATCACACTTTCATGCCACACCTTCTCCCCTCCATCTCCATCCCTTCCGCGTTCACCTCTTGCCGATCCCTCCTTTCTTCGCCACACAGGCATTGGTCAGGGCTTGGAAGTCAGGCCAGGAGATGCCATTCGTCTTCAATCCAGTCCAGTACTTGCCTGCTCCTCCCTTCCTCCTTTATATCTTGCTGTTCTCTCCTTCCCCCATCACCCCTCGCTGCCAGGCATTGGTCAGGGCTTGGAATTCAGGCCAGGAGATGCCATTCGTCTTCGATCCGGTACTTTCCAGCTGCCTTTCAGGTGACTTTTCAGGTGTTTTATTTCTGCATATCAGGTGCTTTAAGGATGCCGTTCAGGTGCCTCGTGCGCACTCTGCTGTAGACTCCTATTTGCCTCGAAATGTCCTATTTTCACGAAATGTCGCTTCGATGTCGACCCTTTTTTAGGCGCCTAAAAAACGTATTGTTAGGCTCTTTGCTACATGCAATCTCATAGCCATTGCCCATGCAATCCCTGTATTGTATGGATAGGATACCATACATCCCGCTCACTCGTTTGTGCCTGTCCCTCTCACGCAAGGCCTCACGTCTCCCCTCGTCCCACTCCCGCTTTTCACCCCTTTCCATAAACGTGTGGGATGTGCTTCGCCTGCTGGTCAATCCCACATCCGCTCGCAGTGACACCATCGACCCACTCTTCCCTACTTTCCCATTCCTCTCATCTCATTCACAGGCCTCGCCCCTCCTCCCATCCCCCCCCAATGCAGGTGTGAGATGTGCCTCACCTGCTGGATTATCTCACAGCCGCTCACTGTACTGTCATTGAATCGACCTCTCTCCCACCTGATTGTCTCATCGCTATCTGTTCCCCGTCTCTCCTCCTCGCATCCCCCCCCATCCAGGTGTGGGATGTGCTTCGCCTCATGGTCTATCTCACAGCCGCTCACACGGACACCAACGGCCCACTCTCACTTTCCTGTGCCTGTTCATCTTCCTCCCCTCCGTGCCATCCAGGTGTGGGACGTGCTTCGCCTCATGGACTATCTCACAGCCGCCCACTCTAACTACATAGACCCCTCGCGCATCGCCATCACCGGCGTCTCCCTTGGTGGTACGCTCTCCTTCCTCCTCCCTTGATTTGATCTCCTTCTTCCCTCTTAACATACATTCACATTTCCTCAACTTATAATTCGACCCGAGACCCAAGGTGACTGGTGAGTTGCTCTTATTACTGTGCCACCATCCCGCCATGCCACTGTGCCACTCCTCCCCAGCCTAGTGCCCGCTCTTGTACCAGCCCTTCCCCCTCCCACCCTCCTGCTCCTTTTACCGCACCTACCACTCCTCTCCTGTATGTCCCTTGGTCCTTCCCCTCCCCACCTCCACCAGGCATGGTGGCATGGCTGGCGGCTGCAGCAGACCCGCGGATAGCAGCAGCTGCTCCCATAATAGGCGTGCAGGTGGGTGGGGACTGATGAGAGCAGGGTGTGCAGGTGGGTGAAGTTGGGTGGGGTGGGGAGGGCATGGCGTTCAGGTGGGTGGTGAATGGTGGGAGCAGGGCGTGCAAGTGAGAGCGTAGCGTGCCACAGCAGACTCCCGGATAGCAGCGGCTGCTCCCATGATAGGCGTCCAGGTGGGCGGGGAGGGAAGCGGTGAGATTAGGGAGTTCAGGTGGGTGGGGAGGGCAGTGGGGAGTGGTATTTGCAGGGGAGCGGGGAGCGCAGGAGAGAGGGGAGTGGGAAGCGCAGGGGAGTGGGGAGTGAAGGGTGCAGGCAAGGGGAGTGCAGGGGAGTGGGGAGAGGTGGTGTGGTGCTGGGATGGCATGATAGGCGTGCAGGTGCATTGAGTGCACAGGGTTTTTTTTTTTTTTTTTAATTGACACCATGATAGGCAACCACTGCTGTTCACAAGTAACACAATGATACTCGTACGCGTGGAGGTTGAGAGTGGCGAGGTCTGAGAGAGGCTGTGGGCAATAACTGGCTCCGGAACGCTAATCCCCCTCTTCCCTTCCTCCCCAGTGCATCCAATGGGCGGTGAACAACAACAAGTCCATTCACACCCAACCCCACCAGCCTTCAATTGTACTCTCTCGCCCCAGTCCCCCTGACCTGACCACCCACCCCTGCCCCTCTCCCACCGCCCATCTCCCCTCCCCATCTCCTCTACTCATACCCCACTCCTTCCACTGCGTCACTGCGTGGTGGACAATAACTGCTTTCACATTCGAGCATCCTCTCACTCCCCACACGCATCTCCCTCGCGCCTCATCTGCCCCCTCCTCTCCTCCCACCCGTCTTCCCACCTTTCCCTGCGTTCTTCCAGAGGGTGGTCGACAACAGCTGCTTCCTTCCCTTCCACGCCCGAGTGGCCTCCCATCGAGTTCACCCACTGCACGCTTCCCTTCCTCTCCCTCCCCCTTCTCTTCCCCGGCCTCTCTCCTCCCCCAGTGCTTTCCCTGGGCCATTGACAACAATTGCTTCCACGCCCGAGTGGCCTCTACATGAAATCACCCGCCGCACTCCCCACACGCATTTCCCTCCTCCCCTTCCCCCTCTCTCCCCCAGTGCTTCCGCTGGGCGGCTGCTTCCACGCCCGAGTGGCCTCCAATGGAGCTCACTCACCCCAGTCCCCCCAACCATTCACCCCCTCCCCACCCCCCCAATCTTCCCGCGCCAATGTCCGCCTCTCCTCCCTTCCTCCTATCGTCCCCCAGTGCTTCCGCTGGGCAGTCGACAATAACTGCTTTCATGCCAGAGTGGCCTCCATACCCCACGCTTTCAATGGTGCGCCAGATTTGAATTGCATTTGGCCGACAATAACCATGCCTGACTACTGCGTTTTGTTTGCTGTAGCGTGGGTTCGTTTGTTATCGACTTGTATGGCATGATTTTCTAGAATTCTCAAAAATCACTCATGTGGGTTCGTTTGTTATCGACTTGTACGGCATGTGGATTCTACAATTGACATCTGGTTGTTCTTGCTGCCTCACGATATCGAGATGAGTGGATCCATGCAGCATGATACACTGACGTGTCACGAGCTTAATCCTAAGCTGCGCCGTGACTTGACGTTTCCATTTTCCTTTTGCTTCACTGTTTTTTGTCCTCGCCTCAACAGCAGCAGCAGAGGAGATGGGGAGGGCACATGTGGATGCTGAAGTGGTCACAGCAGTGCGTTTTTTTTTTTCTTTCTTTCTTTCTTTCTTTCTTTCTTTCTCTCTTTCTTTCTTCCTCCTTTTTTTATTTCCTTGTTTTCTTGGTGGCTGCCATGCCATCTTCCCTAGTGCATAAATGCACGGCCACTGGAACTGATTTTTTGTTTTTGTTTTTTTCCTTTTTCTTCCCATCACTTCATGCGTTCCTTGCTTTCACATCACTTTCTGTATCCCCACATCCCAGTACCCGTTCTCCCCTGTCCCCTTCATGTCCCAACCGTTTTTACTTCACACACCCCCTTTCTTCTGCCTGCCCACTCTCATTTCTACCTTCCCACCCACCCACCCTCCCCACCTTAAAGCCCAGGTGCGGAGTTGGATCATCCCCAACTTGCCCCAGCAATTTGGTCCTCTCTACTCCCTGCCAGCCATTTGGCCCCGCCCTTATCCGACTCTCAACCCACCCCCACCAACCCAACCCCCCTCCCCTCTTAAATCCCAGGTGTGGAACCGCATCACTCCTGGATTGCTGCAGCGGTTTGGCCCTCACAACTCCCTGCCGGCCATCTGCCCTCGCCCGCTGCTCATTCTGAATGGTATGCGTGCGTCTGTGGCACCTTGTGACACAGCATGCAATCACAAGCAGGTAGGAGTAGGCACTGATGAGAATATTTCAAGGCATGTCTATGCTCAAATCACTGCCGTATTTACACAATACGGCAGAATAAAGCAGGGATCACGCTCGTCTGAGTCAATTTCACATCAGCGTCTTTGTGACACCACTTCCTCAGTTGCTTCTCTGCTGCATTGACAAAACATGGCAGGGGAGACTAATTCAAGGTGTCCCATTGTGTGGCTGAGGGGAGTGGTGCAGCGAGGAGGCACTCTTGATTCTCTGTCACACCATTCACTTACTCGGTTGCCTCTCTGCTGCTGCATTGACACAACATGGCAGGGGAGAGTGATCCGAGGTGTCCCGTGGAGGGGCTGAGGGGAGCAGTGCAGCGAGCTGAGGAGGCGTACAGCCGGGCAGGAGTGCCTCACCACTTTGAGGTACGCACCGCACGGGTGCTCTACTGCTGATTGCCTCTCTAGATTTTACAAGTACATGTGAGGGGCAGAGGGGAGCAGTGCAGCAGGCAGAGGAGGCGTACAGCCAGGCAGGAGTGCCTCACCACTTCGAGGTACACATTGTGATAGGTCAACACCGCAATACTTTGACTTGACGTACGTGTGAGGGGCAGAGGGGAGCAGTGCAGCGAGCAGAGGAGGCGTACAGCCGGGCAGGAGTGCCTCACCACTTCGAGGTGCGTGCATGGGGGCTAATCTCCTCTCCTGAGTTGACTCAAAACAAGGTGACTTTTGAGTCGACTCAAAAGCCAGGAAGAGTGCCTCGCCATTTTGAGGTGCGAGCTGTTAGTGTTAGCCCTTAACCTCACACTTTGTATTTTCCACTTTCTATAGCCTAGTGTAGCGTAGTTTGCACTTTGTGTTCGGTTGGGTGTAGACCTACATTCCAATCAGACCCAAATGTGATCTCCAAGCAATCTCCAACCCACCAATTGGAGATTGTCTTTGGATTACCCCCAATCTCTAGAGTTTCAAGCTCATTACTAATGTATCGATTCTAAGCTCTAATTCTGACACGAGCATGGGGGTTAATCTCCTCTCCAGCTTGAAAAAGTGCACATGAGGTGTTGAGGGGAGCGGTGCAGCGAGCAGAGGGCACATATAGGATAGCATGAGTGGCATACCTCTTTGAGGCACACAATGTGATTACTACTGATATGTCTCGCCCTGGTCTTCAGTAACTGCGAACTTACAGTGCCACCACACCACCTTGAGGTGAGTGTGAGGGCTCATTTTTGTGCCTCGCCCTGGCTTTCACAAACTGCAACATTCCTTGGGGTTTCCATGAAATTTCCTTCACCTTATCATCCGGCCATCAGCTCATTGTCCTGCCCTTCTCTCATCTCCACCCACCATCCATCCACTGCCCACATGCTCCACCTCGTGCCCCCACCCACCACCCCCTTGCTCCACCTCCTCTACTGTATCTGGTGCGTCATTTGCATATGAGGTGCGCCAGTTCCACGTGGAGCCTGGGGTGGGGCATGAGGTGACAGATGCCATGTGGCACAAGGCTATTGCATGGCTGCAGAGACACCTGGCGGCAAAATGATGGGATTCACTCAGATGCCTACCGTACTTGACACGAGGCAGCTGGGCAATATAATAATTTGTAACTAGTATGTCTGGTTGCTTTGTTGCCCTCTCAGACTCTAGGACAGGTGTTGTATCAATGTGGATGTAATTTTTTACTACAGAAATCTTCCATGCTGGTAGTTTCTGGCCGTCTTTGTCAATGTGATTGTATTGTATTATGTTTATATGTTTATATATATATACACACACATATATATATATACATTCTCCTAAGGTGTTCTTGCACGGTTTTGTTTTACAATAAGACATTTAAGTGATTCTAATATCTATTCTTGAGTGGATAGAAGTTATGCCTGCGTAACAATTGTACTTGTGCATGGCTTCATGTAGAAAGTGGGGTTAGCCACTTTAAGGTATTCGTTTGCTGGAAATGCACACTCGAACTTGTGCTGATACGTTTATCGCACTCACCGTAGAGAGTAGTTATGGCCTGAGAATCTTCCACGCGCATATCGTTGCCATATCCATCATTTCGCTCTTCTCTCGCTTTTCACAATGGCTGCCGAATCGCCCGACAGCCATCCGGCAGCGCCCCCGCCCACGATTCTGAGTAAGCGTCTCGTCGCCGCAGCCGTTTCGCGTCGCAAAGCGACGTTAAACGATGCAATACACTCGCCCTGTTGCACATCCGACAGACGTCCTCTCGCTTGTTGAGACGTCGCAAAGTTTCTCTCGCTGCTGCTAGCGGAGCAGCTGTCGCCCCTCGCGAACGTCGGGAAAATCAAGCGCGATTCGATCCGGCGTTTAGTGCGCGCACCGCGTGTCCGCGTTATAAGCCGCTTCGTTTGCATAGCCAACGTGTCGTGCTGACGTGGATTTCGTTTTTTTTTCTCTCCTCATTCCCGTTTTCTCACAAGTGGCAGCTCGCCGCTCGCTGTCGCTTTCCCCACGTTAGCTCTCCCTCCCTCCCCTCCACCCCTACACCCGCTCCCCCTGCCCTCCCCTTTCACGTCTCCGTCGCAGCGCGGGACAAACAGGGCCTCTCGCTATTGTCACAAGTGACTGCATCGCAGGTCGAGCCGATCGCCGCCGTGCAGAAGTGAGAATAGATACACTTGTCGGATACTCACTTTGGATAGTCACATTCGTCGGATAGTCACACTTGTCGGATAGTCACACTTGTCGGATAGTCACACTTGTCGGATAGTCACACTTGTCGGATAGTCACACTTGTCAAAAGCACACTCTCTGCCCTCTCTCACGCGAGTCTGCCTCTCCCTGCTCTGCCCTGCAACGCATCTCATGCCACTTTGTACCGATTTCCACTGCACCCGACCCAGGCCGTTAGTTACGCTACCACCGTCCCATCCCCCTCACTCCCGTCCCAGCGATCCACGTCAGCACGTCCCACGTCCTCCACTTAAAGCTCTTTTGAGAACCGCTTTAAGCGAATACGGAGGCCTTGGTCCATTGTACTCAAGACCTTGGTACAAGAGGTCTCCTCAAAGGTTCACCTCAGCACCTACCGACCTTGGTCCCCCTCTTGAACCAAAACCCAGAACCCCTCATCTGCATCCGAACCTTTTGGCAATGCTGCGCTAGGCCCCTGCTACCCGCCTGTTGCCTCCCCTCGCGTCGCTGCCATCCGCGTCAGCACCTATCTTCATTCTTAGCCTGAACCAACCTGAACCCAAAGCCCAGAACCCTCTGTCTGGGTTTGCACCCCTCACCGCTGCTATAGGCCTGAGCTCACCTCGCCGCACAACTGTTCTCTCTGAGGGATCCCATCTGGCAATGCCACTACTGCCTCCCTACTGCCTCCCTACTGCCTCCCTACTGCCTCCCTACTGCCTCCCTACTGCCTCCCTACTGCCTCCCTACTGCCTCCCTACTGCCTCCCTGGACAATTCCACATGTCTCCACCCTCCTCTCTTCTACCCTCCCCCCTGCTCGCCTACCCTTCCCCCCCGTACCAGCATGCCCTGCTCACAGGCCTAGGTCACCAACTTCACCCCCCCACCCCCTTCTCTTCTCCCACTCTCACCCCCCCTCTTCCGCCTTTTTCCCCCTTCTTCTCCCCTCTTACACTCCCCAGCGTGCCCTGCTCGCAGGCCAAGCTCAGCCCCGATGGCATTCTCGTGCCTCACAGGCCACTGTCTGTCACCCCCTTTCCCCCCCGCCCTCCTCTCCTACTCCCACTCTCACCCGCCCTCTCTTTTCCCCCCTTTACTCTTCTCGGTCTGCTCTGTTCGCAGGCCAAGTTCAGCCCGGATGGCACCCTCATGGCAGTCGCAGCAGCGGGTGGCGGCGTTCGTCTCATTCACGTGCCGTCCCACTCCTCCACCCCCCTCCCCTTCCCAGTCTCCCCTGCGCGCAGGCCAAGTTCAGCCCGGATGGCACACTCGTGGCGGTTGCAGCAGCGGGTGGCACACTCGTGGCGGTTTGCAGCAGCGGGTGGCGGCGTTCGTCTCATTCACGTGCCGTCCCACTCCTCCACCCCCCTCCCCTTCCCAGTCTCCCCTGCGCGCAGGCCAAGTTCAGCCCGGATGGCACACTCGTGGCGGTTGCAGCAGCGGGTGGCGGCGTTTGTCTCATTCACGTGCCGTCCCACTCCTCCACCCCCCTCCCCTTCCCAGTCTCCCCTGCGCGCAGGCCAAGTTCAGCCCGGATGGCACACTCGTGGCGGTTGCAGCAGCGGGTGGCGGCGTTTGTCTCATTCACGTGCCGTCCCACTCCTCCACCCCCCTCCCCTTCCCAGTCTCCCCTGCGCGCAGGCCAAGTTCAGCCCGGATGGCACACTCGTGGCGGTTGCAGCAGCGGGTGGCGGCGTTTGTCTCATTCACGTGCCGTCCGGCCAGCAGCGCCTGCACATGCCTCTGGAGGGCGTGCAGGCGCTCGCCTTCTCACCCAAGGGCTCCTACCTGCAGGTATGTATACAAGTGGCAGCATAGCAGGTTGACAGGTGTTCAGGTGTCTCCTCAGCTGTGATAGCAGCCGGCAGGTGGCAAAAGTGGCTGCACATGCCTCTGGAGGGCGTGCAGGCCGTCGCCTTCTCACCCAAGGCTCCTACCTGCAGGTATGTACTATGTGTGCAGCTGTGAGTGCAGGTAAGTGTGATTGAGCTGTCTCTGCCAACAGGACCTGAGTGGTTGCATATCTGATGTACTGAAAGCGTGTACTGATGTAATAACCATTCAAGGAATAATCATGCTTGAATTCCAACCCAGGCTCTAGTCATGGCTTGCGTCATGTCCCCTCCCTCCAGCTCACATCCCTCCTCCCTCCCTCGCCCTTGGTACCATCTACCTCCTCTCAAGTCTTTTCCACCTACGGCTTACACATGGTCCAATTGGTCCAGAACAGTTACGCTACACCTTAAATACTATCCCCCTTTGGGCAGGAGGAGTGAAATCTGGGTGTCTGTTTGGCGATCCTTCTCTTCCCCTTGCCATTTCCGCCTTCCGCCCCTCTCCCTCGCAGGTGTTTCAGCAGCCCTCACCACCCCCAGCAGGGGGCGGGCAGGCGGAGCCCAAACTGACGGTGCGGTGTGGCTGTGTGTGTGTGTGTGTGTGTGTGTGTGTGTGTGTGTGTGTGTGTGTGTGCTCACCCCGTTGTTCCCCTTTCCTTCCCTCCCCTCCTTACTGCAGGTGTTTCAGCGGCCCTCACCACCCCCAGCAGGCGGCGGCCAGGCAGAGCCCAATCTGACGGTGCGGCGGGTGTCTGTGTATGCATTAAACCTCCTGGTCTTCTCCCCCCGCCCTTCCCCCCCCATGGCAGGTGTTTCAGCGGCCCTCACCACCAGCAGGGGGCGGCCAGGCAGAGCCCAATCTGACGGTGCGGCGGGTGACTTTGCACTGACTCTCCTGTTGTCCCCTCCTTTCCCCTCCCCTCTTACCCACACACTGCAGGTGTTTCAGCGGCCCTCTTCAGCACCAGCAGGGGGCGGGCAGGCGGAGCCCAACCTGACGGTGCGGTGGGTGAGTGTGTGCTGACTGACCCTCCTATTCCCCTCTTCCCTGTCCCACCCACACACACACTGCAGGTGTTTCAGCGGCCCTCACCACCCCCAGCGGGCGGCGGCCAGGCAGAGCCCAATCTGACGGTGCGGCGGGTGAGCGATGGGGAGGTGGTGTGGCGGCAGGTGCAGAAGACGTTCAACTCTGCAGCATGGTGGGTGGGGGGTGAGGGGTGGGGGCTGCATGGTGGGTGGGTGGGGGTTCTGGGTGGGTGGGGTTATGGGCGAGTGACAGAGAGCGATAAGGGTTGAGAGAGTGACGGGGAGGTGGTGTGGCGGCAGGTGCAGAAGACGTTTAACTCTCTGCTGCATGGTGGGTGGATGGGTGGGTGGGTGGGTGGGGAGTGGTATGGATGGGTGTGGCAGCACAGGTTTGGGTGGACGGATGGGTGAGTAACAGAGAGCGATAGGGGTAAATTGAGCGATGGGGAGGTGGTGTGGCGGCAGGTGCAGAAGACGTTCAACTCTGCTGCATGGTGGGTTGGTATGGTGGTGGGTGCATGCAGATATGAGTGAGTGAGAGAGAGCGGCAGGGGTTGAGAGAGCAACGGGGAGGTGGTGTGGCGGCAGGTGCAGAAGATGTTCAATTCTGCTGCATGATGGGTGATGGGCGTATGGGTGAGGTGGGGTCTATGTGTGGGGGGCATGGGTGGGAGATATACGATGATAGAGGGAGGGAGCGGTTGGGTTGCTAGTGGGATGGGGAGGTGGTGTGGCGGCAGGTGCAGAAGACGTTCAACTCTGCAGCATGGTGGGTGGGGGGCGAGGGGTGGGGGCTGCATGGTGGGTGGGTGGGGGTTCTGGGTGGGTGGGGTTATGGGCGAGTGACAGAGAGCGATAAGGGTTGAGAGAGTGACGGGGAGGTGGTGTGGCGGCAGGTGCAGAAGACGTTTAACTCTCTGCTGCATGGTGGGTGGGTGGGTGGGTGGGGAGTGGTATGGATGGGTGTGGCAGCACAGGTTTGGGTGGACGGATGGGTGAGTAACAGAGAGCGATAGGGGTAAATTGAGCGATGGGGAGGTGGTGTGGCGGCAGGTGCAGAAGACGTTCAACTCTGCTGCATGGTGGGTTGGTATGGTGGTGGGTGCATGCAGATATGAGTGAGTGAGAGAGAGCGGCAGGGGTTGAGAGAGCAACGGGGAGGTGGTGTGGCGGCAGGTGCAGAAGATGTTCAATTCTGCTGCATGATGGGTGATGGGCGTATGGGTGGGGTGGGGTCTATGTGTGGGGGGCATGGGTGGGAGATATACGATGATAGAGGGAGGGAGCGGTTGGGTTGCTAGTGGGATGGGGAGGTGGTGTGGTGGCAGGTGCAGAAGACTTTTAACTCGGCCGCATGGTGGGAGTATGGTGCTGGCATGATGGTTGTGCAGCGGCATGGGTGGGTTGGTGGGTGCTAGGGAGCGATATTAGTCAAGTGGGTGACGGGGAGGTGGTGTGGCGGCAGGTGCAGAAGATTTTTAACTCGGCCGCATGGTGGGTGGATGGTGAGGGGTGGGTGGAGGGTGGTATGTGTATTGCGGAACAGGTGGGGGATAGAGAGCGATAGAGGTTGGGTGAGCAACTGGGAGGTGGTGTGGCGGCAGGTGCAGAAGACGTTTTACTTCCGCTGCATGGCTGCATGGGTGTGCAGTGCATAATGGTTGGTTGCATTGCATGGCGGCATGAGTGGTTAAATGCGTCCATGCATGCATGGGCGGGTGATGAACAGTGAGAGGCGGACAAGTGCCATACCCATCCATCCCTATGATGATAGGGATGGGTGCAGCGTACTTTGAGAATTCTCAAAAGAACCTGCACATTTTTCCCTTTAAGGTGACCGCACTCTGCACTAGCACAGGCACATTCCACACAGCCACTACGACATCCACTCCTCTATTCACACAACCCCCACTCTCCCCCCTCCCTTTTTTCCCCCACAGGCCCAGCCTGCAGTTCAGCGCAGATGAGTCCGTGGCTTGCCGCCCGGTGAACGGCGAGGTGCAACTGTTCACCGGCGCTGACCTGGCGGCTGGCGTGGCCGCCCGCCTCAAGGTGCCGGGGATGACGTCAGCACAGCTGGCACCCTCGCCCCCGTCTCACATCGCTGTGTTTGCCCCTGAAGCCAAGGTGCGTGCGTGTACGCTTGTGTGCGCACACAGTGGATTCTTCTCTGAACTGTGAGCAAACTGTTAGATTGCAGCTGGCACCGTCCCGCCGTCTCACATCGCTGTGTTTGCTCCTGAAGCCAAGGTACGTGCGTGTACGCTTGTGTGCGCACACAGTGGATTCTTCTCTGAACTGTGAGCAAACTGTTAGATTGCAGCTGGCACCGTCCCGCCGTCTCACATCGCTGTGTTTGCTCCTGAAGCCAAGGTACGTGCGTGTACGCTTGTGTGCGCACACAGTGGATTCTTCTCTGAACTGTGAGCAAACTGTTAGATTGCAGCTGGCACCGTCCCGCCGTCTCACATCGCTGTGTTTGCCCCTGAAGCCAAGGTACGTGCGTGTACGCTTGTGTGCGCACACAGTGGATTCTTCTCTGAACTGTGAGCAAACTGTTACATTGCAGCTGGCACCGTCCCGCCGTCTCACATCGCTGTGTTTGCCCCTGAAGCCAAGGTACCTGTGTGCATGCATGCGCATCTTACTTTTGAGAATTAGCAAAAGTAAAATCAGCACAGTGCAGAGGCTTCTTCGAGCTGTAAGCAAACCGTTACGTTTCAGCTGGCACCGCCGCCGCTGTCTCACATCGCTGTGTTTGCTGCTGAGGCCAAGGTGCGTGCGGGCAGGTGGGTGTGGGGGGAAGGGGTGCAAAACAGAACAGTCAGTGCAATGCAAGGGAGTAGGCACGTAGATCAGTTTGTGGAGCGTTGAGGTACACCTGTTGTTGTGTTCTGAGTCGACTCAGAGCGTCCACCAGTGTGAGGAGTGTGAGAAACTGAAGTGTTGATATATTGAGAAAGAAGAGCAGTACAAATAGTGCATGAGGTGAGTGACCAAAGTTAGGGTTACCCCACACCATTATTGGTTGACCAATGTGGTGGGGGTCCAGCCCAATTATTGGAGGGGCCAAACATTGGAGGGGTTGGCCACCAATGTTGGCTCCCCAACAATAATGGTCGCCTGGGTTGTGGAAACCCAACCAAAAGTTGGGAGACCTCCTGAATGTGTACACCCATGATTTGGGTGTACACTGTTAGGTCTAGCCATATGCATGCTATAATCTAACACACCCCCATAGCATGATAAGGGCTAGACCAAACAACCCCTGAAACAAGGAACCGGTAGAGCGGTGATCGGACAAGCAAACGTCCGAAGGGAAGAGCGCTTCGGCAGATGATGTTGCACGCCAGCCGGGAGGGGGGGGGCTGCTGCAGGTGAGGAGGCAAGCCAGCCAAGGGGTGCTGCGGCGGTGAGGTCGCACGCGAGCCGGGAGCGAGGGCTGCTGCAGGTGAGGAGGCAAGCCAGCCAAGGGGTGCTGCGGCGGTGAGGTCGCACGCGAGCCGGGAGCGGGGGCTGCTGCAGGTGAGGAGGCAAGCCAGCCAAGGGGTGCTGCGGCGGTGAGGTCGCACGCGAGCCGGGAGCGGGGGCTGCTGCAGGTGAGGAGGCAAGCCAGCCAAGGGGTGCTGCGGCGGTGAGGTCGCACGCGAGCCGGGAGCGGGGGCTGCTGCAGGTGAGGAGGCAAGCCAGCCAAGGGGTGCTGCGGCGGTGAGGTCGCACGCGAGCCGGGAGCGGGGGCTGCTGCAGGTGAGGAGGCAAGCCAGCCAAGGGGTGCTGCGGCGGTGAGGTCGCACGCGAGCCGGGAGCGGGGGCTGCTGCAGGTGAGGAGGCAAGCCAGCCAAGGGGTGCTGCGGCGGTGAGGTCGCACGCGAGCCGGGAGCGGGGGCTGCTGCAGGTGAGGAGGCAAGCCAGCCAAGGGGTGCTGCGGCGGTGAGGTCGCACGGGAGCCGGGAGCGGGGGCTGCCGCAGGTGAGGAGGCAAGCCAGCCAAGGGGTGCTGCAGCGGTGAGGTCGCACGCGAGCCGGGAGCGGGGGCTGCTGCAGGTGAGGAGGCAAGCCAGCCAAGGGGCTGTGACGGTGAGGTCGCACACCAGCAGGGAGGGGGGGGCTGCTGCAGGTGAGGAAGCAAGCCAGCCGAACGTGCTGTGGCGGTGAGGTCGCACACCAGCAGGGAGGAGGGGGGGGGCTGCTGCAGGTGAGGAAGCAAGCCAGCCGAAGGTGCTGTGGCGGTGAGGTTGCACACCAGCAGGGAGGGGGGGGGGCTGCTGCAGGTGAGGAAGCAAGCCAGCCGAAGGTGCTGTGGCGGTGAGGTCGCACACCAGCAGGGAGGGGGGGGCTGCTGCAGGTGAGGAAGCAAGCCAGCCGAAGGTGCTGTGGCGGTGAGGTCGCACACCAGCAGGGAGGGGGGGGCTGCTGCAGGTGAGGAAGCAAGCCAGCCGAAGGTGCTGTGGCGGTGAGGTCGCACACCAGCAGGGAGGGGGGGCTGCTGCAGGTGAGGAAGCAAGCCAGCCGAAGGTGCTGTGGCGGTGAGGTCGCACACCAGCAGGGAGGGGGGGCTGCTGCAGGTGAGGAAGCAAGCCAGCCGAAGGTGCTGTGGCGGTGAGGTCGCACACCAGCAGGGAGGGGGGGCTGCTGCAGGTGAGGAAGCAAGCCAGCCGAAGGTGCTGTGGCGGTGAGGTCGCACACCAGCAGGGAGGGGGGGGCTGCTGCAGGTGAGGAAGGGAGACGGCGGCGGCAGCGGGAGGTGGCAGAGCAGGCCACTACGAGGTGGGGTAGGAAGCGTTGGCGACCACGAGATGGCAGGGCGGTGAAATGGCCGTGGCAGCGGGAGAGCCGCGGCGGCGAAGGGAACGGCGGCGGCAGCGGGAGAGCTGCGGCGGCGAAGGGAGGAGGGCTGGGAGGCCCGAAGGAGGAGGAAGCGAGGGGGAAGGGGGAGGAGGGCTGGATGGCCCGAAGGAGGAGGAAGCGAGGGGGGAGGGGGAGGAGGGCTGGATGGCCCGAAGGAGGAGGAAGCGAGGGGGAAGGGGGAGGAGGGCTGGATGGCCCGAAGGAGGAGGAAGCGAGGGGGAAGGGGGAGGAGGGCTGGATGGCCCGAAGGAGGAGGAAGCGAGGGGGGAGGGGGAGGAGGGCTGGATGGCCCGGAAGAGGAGGAAGCGAGGGGGAAGGGGGAGGAGGGCTGGATGGCCCGAAGGAGGAGGAAGCGAGGGGGAAGGGGGAGGAGGGCCGGATGGCCCGAAGGAGGAGGAAGCGAGGGGGGAGGGGGAGGAGGGCTGGATGGCCCGAAGGAGGAGGAAGCGAGGGGGAAGGGGGAGGAGGGCTGGATGGCCCGAAGGAGGAGGAAGCGAGGGGGGAGGGGGAGGAGGGCTGGATGGCCCGAAGGAGGAGGAAGCGAGGGGGAAGGGGGAGGAGGGCTGGATGGCCCGAAGGAGGAGGAAGCGAGGGGGAAGGGGGAGGAGGGCCGGATGGCCCGAAGGAGGAGGAAGCGAGGGGGGAGGGGGAGGAGGGCTGGATGGCACGAAGGAGGAGGAAGCGAGGGGGGAGGGGGAGGAGGGCTGGATGGCCCGAAGGAGGAGGAAGCGAGGGGGGAGGGGGAGGAGGGCTGGATGGCCCGAAGGAGGAGGAAGCGAGGGGGAAGGGGGAGGAGGGCTGGATGGCCCGAAGGAGGAGGAAGCGAGGGGGAAGGGGGAGGAGGGCTGGATGGCCCGAAGGAGGAGGAAGCGAGGGGGAAGGGGGAGGAGGGCTGGATGGCCCGAAGGAGGAGGAAGCGAGGGGGAAGGGGGAGGAGGGCTGGATGGACCGAAGGAGGAGGAAGCGAGGGGGAAGGGGGAGGAGGGCTGGATGGCCCGAAGGAGGAGGAAGCGAGGGGGGAGGGGGAGGAGGGCTGGATGGCCCGAAGGAGGAGGAAGCGAGGGGGAAGGGGGAGGAGGGCTGGATGGCCCGAAGGAGGAGGAAGCGAGGGGGAAGGGGGAGGAGGGCTGGATGGCCCGAAGGAGGAGGAAGCGAGGGGGGAGGGGGAGGAGGGCTGGATGGCCCGGAAGAGGAGGAAGCGAGGGGGAAGGGGGAGGAGGGCTGGATGGCCCGAAGGAGGAGGAAGCGAGGGGGAAGGGGGAGGAGGGCCGGATGGCCCGAAGGAGGAGGAAGCGAGGGGGGAGGGGGAGGAGGGCTGGATGGCCCGAAGGAGGAGGAAGCGAGGGGGAAGGGGGAGGAGGGCTGGATGGCCCGAAGGAGGAGGAAGCGAGGGGGGAGGGGGAGGAGGGCTGGATGGCCCGAAGGAGGAGGAAGCGAGGGGGAAGGGGGAGGAGGGCCGGATGGCCCGAAGGAGGAGGAAGCGAGGGGGAAGGGGGAGGAGGGCCGGATGGCCCGAAGGAGGAGGAAGCGAGGGGGGAGGGGGAGGAGGGCTGGATGGCCCGAAGGAGGAGGAAGCGAGGGGGAAGGGGGAGGAAGGCTGGATGGCCCAAAGGAGGAGGAAGCGAGGGGGGAGGGGGAGGAGGGCTGGATGGCCCGAAGGAGGAGGAAGCGAGGGGGAAGGGGGAGGAGGGCTGGATGGCCCGAAGGAGGAGGAAGCGAGGGGGAAGGGGGAGGAGGGCTGGATGGCCCGAAGGAGGAGGAAGCGAGGGGGAAGGGGGAGGAGGGCTGGATGGCCCGAAGGAGGAAGCGAGGTCGGAGGAGGAGGGCTGAAGTGCCCTGAGGAGGAGGAAGTGAGGGGGGGGGAGGAGGGCTGAAGTGCCCTGAGGAGGAGGATGTGAGGGGGGGAAGGAGGGCTGGAATGCCCTGAGGAGGAGGAAGCAAGGGGGGAGGAGGGCTGAAAATGCCCTGAGGAGGAGGAATGGAGGGGAGATGCGGAAGCGAGGGGGAGAGGAGGGCTGAAATGCCCTAAGGAGGAGGAAGCAAGGGGGTAGGAGGGCTGAAATGCCCTGATGAGGAGGAGGGAGGAGGGCTGAATTGCCCTGAGGAGGAGGAATCGAGGGGAGAGGCGGAAGCGAGGGAGGGGGGAGAGGAGGGCTGAAATGCCCTGAGGAGGAGGAAGCGAGGGGGGGGGGGGGGGGGAGGGCTGAAATGCTCTGAGGAGGAGGAATCGAGGGGAGATGCGGAAGCGAGGGGAAAAGGAGGGCTGGACGGCCCTTACGAGGAGCGACAAAGGCAGGTCGCGTGGGCGGCGGATTGCTCCGCGTCGGCGGAAGGTAGAGGCGGCGACGGATTAGGTCACGACGAGCGCCCGTGTTCGTCGTGGCAATGGCGCCCGTCCGTAATGTAGGTCACGACGGTCAACGTCCCGACGGTCGCGCTGGCCGTCCCGTCGGTCGCGCTGGCCGTCCCGTCGGTCGCGCTGGCCGTCCCGACGGTCGCGCTGGCCGTCCCGACGGTCGCGCTGGCCGTCCCGACGGTCGCGCTGGCCGTCCCGACGGTCGCGCTGGCCGTCCCAACGGTCGCGCTGGCCGTCCCGACGGTCGCGCTGGCCGGCCCGACGGTCGCGCTGGCCGTCCCGTCGGTCGCGCTGGCCGTCCCGTCGGTCGCGCTGGCCGTTCCGACGGTGGGCTCGTTCGTAGGAGAGAGGGGAGGGCCGTGAGAGGCGGAATTGACCGTAGGAAGGGGGGAGGGGCGCTGGAATTTAGCGCAAGGGGAGGGGAGCCGTGACGGCGTAGACGCGCACTAGGCGCAAAGAGCGACGTAACGTCGCGTAAGGGGGGCGTGATGTGGCACGCGATAGGTGTGGTCCTTAGGATCGAGAGACGGTGTTAACCGTTGTAGCTCTGATTACCATGTGAGAAACTGAAGTGTTGATATATTGAGAAAGAAGAGCAGTACAAATAGTGCATGAGGTGAGTGACCAAAGTTAGGGTTACCCCACACCATTATTGGTTGACCAATGTGGTGGGGGTCCAGCCCAATTATTGGAGGGGCCAAACATTGGAGGGGTTGGCCACCAATGTTGGCTCCCCAACAATAATGGTCGCCTGGGTTGTGGAAACCCAACCAAAAGTTGGGAGACCTCCTGAATGTGTACACCCATGATTTGGGTGTACACTGTTAGGTCTAGCCATATGCATGCTATAATCTAACAAGGAGCTCAGAACTAAGTCCTTTGTCTCCTCAGGGAGCGCCAGCCAGTGTGCGCATCTTCAGGCGTGACAGCGCCACCCCCTCCTCCTCCTCCTCCTCCTCCTCCTCCTCCTCCTCCTCCTCCTCCTTTTAACACATCATTCTTTGCTTCGTTTCCCTTCCCCACTCTCCCCTCCCTCTTCCCCCAGGGTGCGCCAGCCAGTGTGCGGATCTTCTCGCGAGACAGCGCCACCCCTTCCTCATCCTCTCAGCACGGCATTGTCTGTTTCCGTCGCCCCCATCCATTCTCCCCTTCTCCGTTTTCCAGGGTGCACCAGCCAGTGTGCGGATTTTCACGCGAGACAGCGCCACCCCTTCCTCCTCCTCCTCTGCTGCCGCCCCACCCGCTCCCATAGCGCGGCGCAGCTTCTTCAAGTGCAGCGCGGTGCGGCTGGTGTGGAACGTGGGGACCACTGCTGTGCTGGCATGGACGCACTCTGACGTGGACAAGACCAATCAGAGCTACTACGGCGAGTCGGGGCTGCACTTTCTGGCGGCTGATGGGAGCTTTGAGGGCGCTGTGCCTCTGTGTGAGTGAGCGAGATGTGACTGTATGTATGTGTTGTTACGGTGAGTGTAATTGTTGAAGCCACCAGGGCGAGTCGGGGCTGCACTTTTTGGCGGCTGATGGGAGCTGAGGGCGCCGTGCCTCTGTGTGAGTGTGTTGTATTTGATTGTGACAGTATAAGAGTGTGAATCTAAGTGAGTGTGACTGTATGTGCTACTGTGTGAGTGTATGTGCTACGGCGAGTCGGGGTTGTGCTCCCTGGTGGCTGATGGGAGCTTTGAAGGCGCCGTGCCTCTGTGTGAGTGTGACAGTATGTGCTGCTGTCATTGTTTCGTGCATCACTTTCTGTCCCCTCCCCGCTTCCCCCACCGCCCATGCCCCCCTGTGTTGGCAGCAAAGGAGGGGCTGATTCATGACTTGCAGTGGTCTCCCAATGGGAAGGACTTGCTCTCTACTCAGGCAATCGCTGCAGACTGTCTCTTCATGCCTCGCTGCTTGTTCTCCTCCCCGTGCTTTCTCCCGGTTTCTTCATTTCCCATGGCGCCCCCCTGGCAGCAAAGGAGGGGCCGATTCATGACGTGCAGTGGTCGCCCAATGGGAAGGACTTTGTGGTGGTGCATGGATGTGAGTGGGGTGCATGGATGTGAGTGGGGTGCATGGATGTGAGTGGGGTGCATGGATGTGAGTGGGGTGCATGGATGTGAGTGGGGTGCATGGATGTGAGTGGGGTGCATGGATGTGAGTGGGGTGCATGGATGTGAGTGGGGTGCATGGATGTGAGTGGGGTGCATGGATGTGAGTGGGGTGCATGCATGTGAGTGGGGTGCATGCATGTGAGTGGGGTGCATGCATGTGAGTGTGGTGCATGGATGTGAGTGGGGTGCATGGATGTGAGTGGGGTGCATGCATGTGAGTGGGGTGCATGGATGTGAGTGGGGTGCATGCATGTGAGTGGGGTGCATGCATGTGAGTGGGGTGCATGGATGTGAGTGGGGTGCATGCATGTGAGTGGGGTGCATGGATGTGAGTGGGGTGCATGCATGTGAGTGGGGTGCATGGATGTGAGTGGGGTGCATGCATGTGAGTGGGGTGCATGGATGTGAGTGGGGTGCATGCATGTGAGTGGGGTGCATGCATGTGAGTGGGGTGCATGGATGTGAGTGGGGTGCATGCATGTGAGTGGGGTGCAGGTATGTGAGTGGGGTGCATGCATGTGAGTGGGGTGCAGGTATGTGAGTGGGGTGCAGGGATGTGAGTGGGGTGCAGGTATGTGAGTGGGGTGCAGGTATGTGAGTGGGTGCAGGGATGTGAGTGGGGTGCATGCATGTGAGTGGGGTGCAGGGATGTGAGTGGGGTCCATGGAGGTGCATGGGGTGCATGAATATGAGTGGGGTGCATGGATGTGAGTGGGGTGCAGGTATGTGAGTGGGTGCAGGGATGTGAGTGGGGTGCATGCATGTGAGTGGGGTGCAGGGATGTGAGTGGGGTCCATGGAGGTGCATGGGGTGCATGAATATGAGTGGGGTGCATGGATGTGAGTGGGGTGCAGGTATGTGAGTGGGTGCAGGGATGTGAGTGGGGTGCATGCATGTGAGTGGGGTGCAGGGATGTGAGTGGGGTCCATGGAGGTGCATGGGGTGCATGAATATGAGTGGGGTGCATGGATGTGAGTGGGGTGCAGGTATGTGAGTGGGTGCAGGGATGTGAGTGGGGTGCATGCATGTGAGTGGGGTGCAGGGATGTGAGTGGGGTCCATGGAGGTGCATGGGGTGCATGAATATGAGTGGGGTGCATGGATGTCCATGCTTTGCCCCAGTTTTTCGGGTATGATTCGTGCACCACTTGGTTGGTCTGTCATTTACCAAACCTCAGTTGCATTCAAATTAATGCTACTGCTTTCATGTTCCTAGTAAAGCCTCCCTTCTTATTGCTATTAGGTTGCACTATTCATGTTCTGGGTTTCCCTCTGCTCAAGATGAGCTTTCCCGTTTTTGTTCGTCCAAGGTGTGTCCAGTTCATTGCACTGTTCAATGCAACAAATGAACTGGACATATCTTAGACGAGCAAGAATGACAAAGCTCATCTTGTGCGAAAGGACACGCACACATTGAATAGTGCAAATCAATGACAATAAGAAGGAAGACTTTCCTGATGTCATTTGCTGCCAGTCATGCCAAACAAAGCCACAGTTTTTGTCGCTGCAAGCACCTCTTTGACAATGAATTCCACATCCCCGTTATTCCCAGTCATGTGTGTGCTCTCCCACCCCTCCTGACCCTTTCCTCTCCTTTCCTCCTTTGCCCTGTCCCCACCCTGCACCTGCCAGTCATGCCGGCCAAGGCCACACTCTTTGATAATCGCTGCAAGCCTCTCTTTGACTTTGGCTCCGGCCCGCGCAACCTCGTGCGCTGGAGCCCACACGGCCGATGTGAGTGGGCGGAGGAGTGGGGGGGGGGGGGGGGGGGGGGGGGGGGGGGGGGGGGGGGGATTTAATAAGGAAAGTGTACATGCAAAAACAGTCGCTGCAAGCCCCTCTTTGACTTCGGCTCCGGCCCGCGCAACCTGGTGCGTGCAATGGTTAGCGGATGGGAGGGTGTGAATCTACAGATGCGATCGTGCGTGCAACAACAGTGGCGCCTCTCTTTGACTTTGGCTCTGGCCTGCGCAACCTGGTGTGCTGGAGGCCTCACGGCCGATGTGAGTAGTCATGGAATCGGGGGAGGGAGCATACGTGCAATGGGAGGAGGATGGGGGGCATGTGGGGAAAGTGGGAGTATGCGTGCAAGCAACCACAGGTACTGCAAGCCCCTCTTTGACTTTGGCTCCGGCCCGCGCAACCTGGTGCGCTGGAGTCCCCACGGCCGATGTGAATGGGTAGTGGGTGTGTGGTTGAATATGGGGAGTGTCGGATGGAAGGCAGCCTGGTAGAGTAGAGTATGTGCGGGACGAAGGTGGGCGGGCATGCAACAACAGTCGCTGCAAGCCCCTCTTTGTCTTTGGCTCTGGTCTGCGCAACCTCGTGCGCTGGAGCCCGCACGGCCGATGTGAGTTCATAGTTGGGTGTGTGGTTGAACCGGGTTGTGCGGTTGGTAGGCTTATGAGGGGTTGGGAGAGGCTGAAGGTTGTGTTCGATGGTGGGAGGGATTTGGGGACGTGTGAGTATGAGACGATGACGGTTGAGGTTGAGAGAGGTGATGTGAGTGTGAGTATGAGACGATGACTTGGGAACCATGATGGCTATGATGTGATTGTTGTGATGTGCCCTCCTTGGTGCCCGTGCCGTGACGTTAACCAACGTCTTGATTTTTGAGGCGCCTCAAAACTCAACTCACTACATGGTGATGTGAGTGGACTTGGGAACCATGATGGCTATGATTTTTTTGTTGTGATGTGCCCTCCTTGGTGCCCGTGCCGTGACGTTAACCAACGTCTTCACCTACTCTTCCAACAGCTGAGGCCCACTTCTCTTGCAATGAGGTGACTTTGAGTCGACCCAAAAGTCACCTCTTTAACCAGCTTTTTCACCCGTTCTCCCAACAACTGAGGCCCTCCTTGCTTGCATGCGTTCTTTCCGTTAGCTTGTTTTAACTTAGGCACATTATAGTTGTTCCATCATGCTCGCACACATGGTGGTGTACGCACGTCAGCCTCTCTGTACTCGATTGCTCACCTTTTGTAAAAGACAACAAAAAAAAAAAAAAAAAAACTCCCTCCTCATGGCCTCTGCCTGTCTTCACCTCTGCCTGTCTTCACCTCTGCCTGTCTTCATCTCTGCCTGTCTTCATCTCTGCCTGTCTTCATCTCTGCCTGTCTTCACCTCTGCCTGTCTTCATCTCTGCCTGTCTTCACCTCTGCCTGCTTCCTCCCCCCTTCCTTTCCCGCCAGTCATCTGTCTTGCGGGGTTCGGCAATTTGCCCGGTGATGTTGTGAGTGAATCTTGCTACCAACCAGCGCGTGTGTGCGAATGAGTGTGTGTGCGTATGTTGACTCTGATTTAAATGAAGCTGTGTCTGGCTGTGAGATTGTCTTGCGGGGTTCGGCAATCTGCCCGGTGACGTTGTAAGTGAATCTAGCTACCAACCAACGAGTGTGTGTGAATGAGTGTGTGTATGTGTGTAGGTGGCACTTTGAATTCGTGATTGACAGTGTTTCTGGCTGTGACATCGTGAATGCGACTGAATGTTGGTGGATTATTTGAGTGAGAGATGGAGTGTGCAGGTGGTATTTTGAGCGAGACTGACGGTGTGCTGCTGATGTTGTGACATGAGATGAGACTGGTAGTGTGAAGTTGTCGTTGTAACTTCTCACGTGCGTTCATGTTCTTGCTGTGTATTTATTTTGTTGTAAGGCCAACGGTTAAGCACATATATCAGAACATCGCAACTAGATACCACCGCCCATATCGCTAACGTCTTGTTTGTACGCATTGAATGGCGTCATATTAACAATCACACCCTCGCCTCACCTCTCTCTCGCTGTCCCTGACCGTCCCTCTTGGCAGGAGGTGTGGGAGCGCACACGACTGAAGCAGCAGGGGAAGGCCAAGGCACCGTGCGGAGTGTCAGCCGAGTGGAGCCCTGATGGCCGGCACATTCTTGTAGCAACCACTGCTCCCCGCCTCCAAGTGGACAATGGGTGAGCTGGTAGAGAGCTGGTAGCTGCCTTTGACAACTCTCAGAAGCAGCAGGGGAAGGCCAAGGCACCGTGCGGAGTGTCAGCCGAGTGGAGCCCTGATGGCCGGCACATTCTTGTAGCAACCACGGCCCCCCGTCTGCAGGTCGACAACGGGTGAGCTGACACACACCTCAAGAATCATCTAGATTGAGCTAACCTAAGTTTGACCGACTGGAGCCCTGACGGCCAGCACATTCTCGTCGCCTCCACGGCCCCCTGCAAGTGGACAATGGGTGAGCTGCTACAAAATCCGTTCACAAGAATGGCAGGAAATATCCAGCTAGTGAAGTGCTGGCACCCAAGGTGAGTGAGTGGAGTGGAGCCCTAATGACTGGCACCCCCTCATGGCTACCACCTACTAGTGGACAACGGGTGAGCTGATCTGCTACGACAGCATTCAAAGAGGTAGCAAGCCGTGAGGAGGTAACCCAGGTGGAGTGGCGTGGACCGGTGAGGGCCGCAGGCTCATTTTTATGGCCAGCACGGCGCCTCACCTTCAAGTGGACGATGGTTGAGCCGCTACACACGCGCGCGCGCCCATTGCCCACTCTTGAATAGTTCTTTACACTCTTTGCACTCTCACAGAGATGTCAGGGGCAAGTCAACTGGAGCCCTGCCCCGATAGCTGCCGCCGCCACATCCTCATGTGTTCTACGTACAAGTGGAGTCCTGACGAGTGTCCGCTCGTCAGGACTCCACTTGACGTCGGGAACAGTTTGCTGAATGAGCTGTTGCCGAATCCAAACAATCTTAGGGAAGTGAGGAGTCATCAAAGAGCTCTTCCGACGAACCGTCTCCCCACGTTCACGTTCCATCACGAGCCACGTTGACTGTGCGCTCCAGCTTTACATGCCTGCGTTTTCTCATTTGCTTTCCTCTGCTCTGCTGCTTCTTATCCCCTGCGCCTACCTATCAGCTTCAAGGTCTTCAAGTATGACGGTTCTCTTCTGCTGCACCGACCATACGGGCTGCTTAGAAGAAGTATCGCTACTGCCTATACCCCTCAAATACCTTCCCCCCTCTCTTCCCCCAATTGTCCCCCGCAGCTTCAAGGTCTTCAAGTATGACGGTTCTCTTCTGCTGCACCGACCATACGGGCTGCTTTACGAGGTACCACTCGCCTACCACCCAACCCAACACCAGCTGCGCTGTGCCCTGCTGACTTCTTAGTTGACTCAGAAACCAACTTTGCTGCGGCACCAACCGTACGGGCTGCTCTACCAGGTACCACCCACTCGCCATCGCCCTGCCACCTCTACCCTGGGTTAACCAAATCTAACAGCTGCTGCGCTGTGCCGTGCAGGCTTTTGAGTCAACTCAAAAGTCAACTCTGCTGCTGCACCGACCATACGGCCTTCTCTACCAGATTCCACTCGCCACTGTCCTACCACCTCTTCCCTGCGCTACCGTGTGTGCCCTGCGCTACCACGTGTGCACTGCTTTGCCACGTGTGCCCTGATCTGCCACGTGTGCCCTGATCTGCCACGTGTGTCCTTCTTTGCCAGATGCATGTGCTGTGTTCTTCTCCTCTCCTCTCTCTGTCGCTCTGCTCTTCAGAGACGGAGTGGGCATCAGCTTTAGAGGGCACGTGTGCTGTGCTGACCGCTTCCTCGTCAGCCCTTCATGCCAAGATGAAGTGTATTTCCCAGCTTGATTTCTTCTTCCTCTCTTCCTTCAACCCTTTCTCTCGTTCCAGGCGGAGTGGGCGCCAGAGGGCACATATGCTGACCTCCCTCGCCTCTCTCCACACGAATAACATACTTTCACTCCTCTTCTCGCCATTGTTCAAACGCTCCAATCTCTTCTCTCCTTCCTCTCCTCCTCGCCAGGCAGAGTGGGCGCCAGCACCAGAGGGCGTGTATGCTGACCGCCCTCCCTCGCCTCGCTCCGACTTGCACAGTCGTCCACCCTTCCTCACCACGGTCCCCCCACTCCAATCTCCCTTCTCCCCCTTCTCCCTCACCAGGCGGAGTGGGCACCAGAGGGCACACATGCTGACTACTCTCCTTGCCAATCCTTTTTAAAGAGATAAACTGACTGACATGCCCCATCTTGATCTCGTCTTCCTCTCCCTCCTCTCCCCCCTCCCCCTTCTCTCACCCCAGGCGGAGTGGGCGCCAGCACCAGAGGGCACATATGCTGACCGCCCTCCCTCGCCAACCCTTCACACCAAGACGAACTCACTTCCCCGTTGTTGATCCCAACTTCCTCTACCCCCTCGCCCCCTTTTCTCTCACCAGGCGGAGTGGGCGCCAGCACCAGAGGGCACATATGCCGACCGCCCTCCCTCACCAACCCTTCACACCAAGACGAACTCACTTCCCCGTTGTTGATCCCAACTTCCTCTACCCCCTCGCCCCCTTTTCTCTCACCAGGCGGAGTGGGCGCCAGCACCAGAGGGCACGTATGCCGACCGCCCTCCCTCACCCCGCTCCGCCAAAAAAGACCAAGGTGCGCCTTGCACGTTCCCCTTTCCCTGCCTGCCTTGCCTGCCTTGCACGTTCCCCCTCCCCCCCTCCAGCCTGCATCCTTTCATGCACGTTGTCCTTGAAACCAGTGTGCTATACCACTCATACCTGCTCTTGTCTCAGCCATTGTCTTCCTCCTTCCTGCCTCTTCCGTCCTTCCTCCATCCCCTCATGTCACATGCCTAGTCCTGTGCTACGCCTCCTGCTCTTCCGATCTCCGCGTGTTACGCGCGCCGACTGCCGCGGTGTCTGTGTGTTTGCTAACGCCCTCTGTCTCTCCCTCTCCGTCCTTGCTTCTCCCTCCCCATCAGCCTCACCAGTGCAACCCCCAGCCACCAAGCCAGCGCCCTACCGCCCACCCAACGTTGCCATCTTAAATTCCACCTTTTCCTTTGCCTGCCTTGTTTCCTCTCCTTCTCATCTTTTTGTCCTCTCTTATTCCTCTCCTTTCCCATTCCTTCTCCCCCTCTCTCCCCCCCTCCCTCCCCATCAGCCTCACCAGTGCAGCCACCAGCCACCAAGCCAGCGCCCTACCGCCCACCCAACGCGGCCCTCATGACCTCCACTTTCAGAGCACAGGTGTGTTGCCACGTGGCAACTCCTTGTTGGTCGCCACCTGGCGACTGCTGCTGGCCGCTGCCACGTGGCAGTGGCAGCTGGTTGTTGGTATCCTCCTGGCAGCTGGTTCATGTGTGGTGATATAAATTTACTTAGCATTTTCTGTGTCCCGTCCCTGTTGTTGCCCCTTCCCTTACTGTCACATCCCTTATTGCCACCTTCCACCTCCCTTTAAATGCCACCTCCCTTCTTAATGTCACGCTCCTTATTGCTACTCACTCCCTTTTCTGCCATGTCCTTTCTTATGGGCACCTCCCTTATCAATACCACTTCCCTTGATTCCATGTCCTTTACCACAACCTTCCTTATTGCCACAGGTCCACCTCTCTTATTGCGACCCCCCTTGTTGTCACGCGGCAGATGTCAGGCGAGGACGACAAGCCACACAAGATAGGCGCTCCAAAGAAATATATCCCGCCTGGGTGAGCCTCATTCCCCTCAAGTGCATTTCTCAAACAATACTGCCGATCCAAAGAAGTGCTTCTCCTCCGAGTGAGCTTCTAGGAGCACACTTTTGAGCCGACTCACATCATGTCAGGCAACGGCGACAAGCCGCTCAAGGTAGGTGAGCCTCATCGTTGTAAAGTAGTACACCCCCCTCGGTTGAGCCTCCATCCAATACAGTGTATTAACGAGTGCGTTTTCCGGGCAATGTTGTTCATTTCTCGAACGATGTTCCAATGAAGTACTTCCCCCTGGGTAAGCCTTTGGAGGCACACATTTGAGACGATTCAACCGAGTTATAACTCATGAGTCAACGCAAATGTAAGGTGGGGACGTTAAGCCGCAGAGGTTAGGCTCTCCATCCCTCCTGGGTGAGCCACCTTCTCCTTAAGCAAGTCAACGAGTGCATTATCCGGGCAAGGCTGTGGCAAGGATAATGGCAAGGCTGTGGCAAGGATAATGGCAAGGCTGTGGCAAGGATAATGGCAAGGCTGTGGCAAGGTAGGTAGGTTGCGCATTTGTCGTTCAAGACAGGCACTCCAATCTAAAAAAGGTACATCCTCCTTGGGTGAGCCCCTGGAAGCACTTTCTTCGGTGAATCTTTCCAACAACAAGTGTATTTCCTGGGCAAGGCCGGACCTGGCTTGTGTGTTGGGTCGCACCTCGAGTATCCACTGCCACTACTATGTGGCCCATGCATGCGCTTCATTCGCTTCACATAAATAACCCCTCGGCCTCCATCCCCATGCATGCCCCTCGATGCACCTCACCCTCTGAGGCTGAGGTGCACGGCCCGTGCATTGCGCCCCTCTCCCCACGTGCCAACTTATGTGCTGCGTTTTGAGGCGCCTCATAAGTCCCGTACGTTTGCATGTGAATGTGTGTGTTTGTGCTGCGTGCTGTGCCCATCCACCCGTGCTACACCCCTCTCTGCGCTGTGCACTGTGCGCTGGCAGGTGGAGCGGAGGCAAGGCGGCGGAGTCATTTAAAGGTGCTAAGAAGAACGCCAAGAATTAGGAGGCTTTTTTAAAGCGCCTCAAAAATAACTCCTCTATGCTGTGTGCTTCTCCCAGCCACCCACAATTTGCATAAAGAATCAGCCTTTACGCTGCTGTGTGCTGCATGCTGTCGACATGGGCAGGAGCTATCCAAGAGTGTCAAAAAGCGAAAGGCATGTTTGACTCCTCTAAAACATCCCCCTCTCTGCTGCATGCTGTGCGCACTGGCAGCGCGGAAATCAGCGGAGTTGTCCAAGAGTGCCAAGAAGCGTGAGGCCTTTCTGAGGCCCCTTCTATTGCCTTTCTTGCCTTCATGCTGTGCCTAAGGGGAAACGTATTCCTGTGCTGTATGTTGCGCACTGTGTGCAGCGCGGAGTCAGCAGAGCCATCGAACGCCAAGAAGTGGGAGAGAGAATTGATGTGCCTAGAATCTCTCTTGTGTTTGTGCTGCGTGCTGTGCATGCGTGCAGGGCAGAGGCAGCAGAGCTATCCAAGAGCGCCAAGAAGTGAAGGCATGTTTGAGCGCCAGAATCACCTTTCTCTGTGCTCCATGCTGTGCCTCTCTATGCTGCATACTGTGTCATGTGGCAGCGCGGAGTCAGCGGAGCTATCCAAGAGCGCCAAGAAGACAAGGGCTTGTCTGAGGCGCTTCAAAGTCACCCTATTCTCTGCTGCATGCTGTATGCTGTACCGTGTGGCAGGGCGAAATCAGCAGAGCTATCCAAGAGTGCCAAGAAGAACGCCAAGAAACGGGAGGCTGAATTGGGTTGCCTAAAACTTCTCTCGCCTCTGTGCTGCGTGCTGTGCATGTGTGCAGTGCGGAGGCAGCAGAGCCATCCAAGAGTGCCACGAAGAACGCCAAGAAACGTGAGGCTTGTTTTATTTGACGCACCTCAAAAACATCCCCTCTCTGCTGCTTGCTCTGCATCTTGGCAGGGCGGAGGCAGCAGAGCCATCCAAGAGTGCCAAGAAGAACGCCAAGAACCGAGAGGCTTGTTTGACGCGCCTCCAAGTCACCCTTCTCTTTGTTGCTTGCTGCTTGCTGCATGCTGTGTATTTGGCAGGGCGGAGGCAGCAGAGCCATCAAAGAGTGCCAAGAAGAACGCCAAGAAGCGGGAGGCTGCCAAGGCCAAGAAAGAGGCAGCTTCACCTGATCAGGTTCGCTTTCAGGTGGTGATCTTTCAGATGGTGGCCTTTTAGGTGATGGCCTTTCACGTGGTAGCCTTTCAGGTGGGGGCCTTTCAGGTTGTCTTTCAGGTGAATTGGTTGAATAGAGCACTATGCATTACACATACCATGCATGCACCTTGCCTCACGCAATTGTGTGCGCGCCACTCCATTCCAATCCAATCTATTTGGGCTGCCTTGCAGACGAGTCAAGGCAAGCAGGCGAACCAGCAGACACCCAGTGTGGCAGAACTCAGCATTGACGACCGGCCCAAGGCACAGCAGGAGCAGCCGGCACCACAACCACAAGGTAATGCCTCTTCTTGCACAACCACCAGACGAGTCACGGCAAGCAGGCAAGTGGGAGCATGCAGGGTCCCAGTGTGGCATGGCTCAGCATTGACGACCGGCCCAAGGCACAGCAGGAGCAGCAGCCACAGCAGGTACAGCAGGCACAGCAAGCACCGCAAGGTAACCTTTCTGCCCGGAGACTCTATTGCTCCACCATACTCAGGGGGCTCAGAGCAAGCAGGCAAGTGAGAGAATGCAGGCCCCCAGTGTGGCAGGGCTCAGTATTGACGACCACCCCAAGGCACAGCAGGAGCAGCAGCCGGCACCACAACCAGAAGGTAACAAGTCTTTCTGGCTATACACTTCATTGCTCCACCAGAACCCCATCTCCCTGGCGTGACTTGTGCACACCAGCCAGCTCCGACTAGTCTAGCTCATTCCGACTTGTCCGACTTGTGCACTTGTGCACACCAGCCAGCTCCGACTAGTCTAGCTCATTCCCTCCGACTTGTGCACACCAGCCAGCTCCGACTAGTCTAGCTCATTCCCTCCGACTTGTGCACACCAGCCAGCTCCGACTAGTCTAGCTCATTCCCTCCGACTTGTGCACACCAGCCAGCTCCGACTAGTCTAGCTCATTCCCTCCGACTTGTGCACACCAGCCAGCTCCGACTAGTCTAGCTCATTCCCTCCGACTTGTGCACACCAGCCAGCTCCGACTAGTCTAGCTCATTCCCTCCGACTTGTGCACACCAGCCAGCTCCGACTAGTCTAGCTCATTCCCTCCGACTTGTGCACACCAGCCAGCTCCGACTAGTCTAGCTCATTCCCTCCGACTTGTGCACACCAGCCAGCTCCGACTAGTCTAGCTCATTCCCTCCGACTTGTGCACACCAGCCAGCTCCGACTAGTCTAGCTCATTCCCTCCGACTTGTGCACACCAGCCAGCTCCGACTAGTCTAGCTCATTCCCTCCGACTTGTGCACACCAGCCAGCTCCGACTAGTCTAGCTCATTCCCTCCGACTTGTGCACACCAGCCAGCTCCGACTAGTCTAGCTCATTCCCTCCGACTTGTGCACACCAGCCAGCTCCGACTAGTCTAGCTCATTCCCTCCGACTTGTGCACACCAGCCAGCTCCGACTAGTCTAGCTCATTCCCTCCGACTTGTGCACACCAGCCAGCTCCGACTAGTCTAGCTCATTCCCTCCGACTTGTGCACACCAGCCAGCTCCGACTAGTCTAGCTCATTCCCTCCGACTTGTGCACACCAGCCAGCTCCGACTAGTCTAGCTCATTCCCTCCGACTTGTGCACACCAGCCAGCTCCGACTAGTCTAGCTCATTCCCTCCGACTTGTGCACACCAGCCAGCTCCGACTAGTCTAGCTCATTCCCTCCGACTTGTGCACACCAGCCAGCTCCGACTAGTCTAGCTCATTCCCTCCGACTTGTGCACACCAGCCAGCTCCGACTAGTCTAGCTCATTCCCTCCGACTTGTGCACACCAGCCAGCTCCGACTAGTCTAGCTCATTCCCTCCGACTTGTGCACACCAGCCAGCTCCGACTAGTCTAGCTCATTCCCTCCGACTTGTGCACACCAGCCAGCTCCGACTAGTCTAGCTCATTCCCTCCGACTTGTGCACACCAGCCAGCTCCGACTAGTCTAGCTCATTCCCTCCGACTTGTGCACACCAGCCAGCTCCGACTAGTCTAGCTCATTCCCTCCGACTTGTGCACACCAGCCAGCTCCGACTAGTCTAGCTCATTCCCTCCGACTTGTGCACACCAGCCAGCTCCGACTAGTCTAGCTCATTCCCTCCGACTTGTGCACACCAGCCAGCTCCGACTAGTCTAGCTCATTCCCTCCGACTTGTGCACACCAGCCAGCTCCGACTAGTCTAGCTCATTCCCTCCGACTTGTGCACACCAGCCAGCTCCGACTAGTCTAGCTCATTCCCTCCGACTTGTGCACACCAGCCAGCTCCGACTAGTCTAGCTCATTCCCTCCGACTTGTGCACACCAGCCAGCTCCGACTAGTCTAGCTCATTCCCTCCGACTTGTGCACACCAGCCAGCTCCGACTAGTCTAGCTCATTCCCTCCGACTTGTGCACACCAGCCAGCTCCGACTAGTCTAGCTCATTCCCTCCGACTTGTGCACACCAGCCAGCTCCGACTAGTCTAGCTCATTCCCTCCGACTTGTGCACACCAGCCAGCTCCGACTAGTCTAGCTCATTCCCTCCGACTTGTGCACACCAGCCAGCTCCGACTAGTCTAGCTCATTCCCTCCGACTTGTGCACACCAGCCAGCTCCGACTAGTCTAGCTCATTCCCTCCGACTTGTGCACACCAGCCAGCTCCGACTAGTCTAGCTCATTCCCTCCGACTTGTGCACACCAGCCAGCTCCGACTAGTCTAGCTCATTCCCTCCGACTTGTGCACACCAGCCAGCTCCGACTAGTCTAGCTCATTCCCTCCGACTTGTGCACACCAGCCAGCTCCGACTAGTCTAGCTCATTCCCTCCGACTTGTGCACACCAGCCAGCTCCGACTAGTCTAGCTCATTCCCTCCGACTTGTGCACACCAGCCAGCTCCGACTAGTCTAGCTCATTCCCTCCGACTTGTGCACACCAGCCAGCTCCGACTAGTCTAGCTCATTCCCTCCGACTTGTGCACACCAGCCAGCTCCGACTAGTCTAGCTCATTCCCTCCGACTTGTGCACACCAGCCAGCTCCGACTAGTCTAGCTCATTCCCTCCGACTTGTGCACACCAGCCAGCTCCGACTAGTCTAGCTCATTCCCTCCGACTTGTGCACACCAGCCAGCTCCGACTAGTCTAGCTCATTCCCTCCGACTTGTGCACACCAGCCAGCTCCGACTAGTCTAGCTCATTCCCTCCGACTTGTGCACACCAGCCAGCTCCGACTAGTCTAGCTCATTCCCTCCGACTTGTGCACACCAGCCAGCTCCGACTAGTCTAGCTCATTCCCTCCGACTTGTGCACACCAGCCAGCTCCGACTAGTCTAGCTCATTCCCTCCGACTTGTGCACACCAGCCAGCTCCGACTAGTCTAGCTCATTCCCTCCGACTTGTGCACACCAGCCAGCTCCGACTAGTCTAGCTCATTCCCTCCGACTTGTGCACACCAGCCAGCTCCGACTAGTCTAGCTCATTCCCTCCGACTTGTGCACACCAGCCAGCTCCGACTAGTCTAGCTCATTCCCTCCGACTTGTGCACACCAGCCAGCTCCGACTAGTCTAGCTCATTCCCTCCGACTTGTGCACACCAGCCAGCTCCGACTAGTCTAGCTCATTCCCTCCGACTTGTGCACACCAGCCAGCTCCGACTAGTCTAGCTCATTCCCTCCGACTTGTGCACACCAGCCAGCTCCGACTAGTCTAGCTCATTCCCTCCGACTTGTGCACACCAGCCAGCTCCGACTAGTCTAGCTCATTCCCTCCGACTTGTGCACACCAGCCAGCTCCGACTAGTCTAGCTCATTCCCTCCGACTTGTGCACACCAGCCAGCTCCGACTAGTCTAGCTCATTCCCTCCGACTTGTGCACACCAGCCAGCTCCGACTAGTCTAGCTCATTCCCTCCGACTTGTGCACACCAGCCAGCTCCGACTAGTCTAGCTCATTCCCTCCGACTTGTGCACACCAGCCAGCTCCGACTAGTCTAGCTCATTCCCTCCGACTTGTGCACACCAGCCAGCTCCGACTAGTCTAGCTCATTCCCTCCGACTTGTGCACACCAGCCAGCTCCGACTAGTCTAGCTCATTCCCTCCGACTTGTGCACACCAGCCAGCTCCGACTAGTCTAGCTCATTCCCTCCGACTTGTGCACACCAGCCAGCTCCGACTAGTCTAGCTCATTCCCTCCGACTTGTGCACACCAGCCAGCTCCGACTAGTCTAGCTCATTCCCTCCGACTTGTGCACACCAGCCAGCTCCGACTAGTCTAGCTCATTCCCTCCGACTTGTGCACACCAGCCAGCTCCGACTAGTCTAGCTCATTCCCTCCGACTTGTGCACACCAGCCAGCTCCGACTAGTCTAGCTCATTCCCTCCGACTTGTGCACACCAGCCAGCTCCGACTAGTCTAGCTCATTCCCTCCGACTTGTGCACACCAGCCAGCTCCGACTAGTCTAGCTCATTCCCTCCGACTTGTGCACACCAGCCAGCTCCGACTAGTCTAGCTCATTCCCTCCGACTTGTGCACACCAGCCAGCTCCGACTAGTCTAGCTCATTCCCTCCGACTTGTGCACACCAGCCAGCTCCGACTAGTCTAGCTCATTCCCTCCGACTTGTGCACACCAGCCAGCTCCGACTAGTCTAGCTCATTCCCTCCGACTTGTGCACACCAGCCAGCTCCGACTAGTCTAGCTCATTCCCTCCGACTTGTGCACACCAGCCAGCTCCGACTAGTCTAGCTCATTCCCTCCGACTTGTGCACACCAGCCAGCTCCGACTAGTCTAGCTCATTCCCTCCGACTTGTGCACACCAGCCAGCTCCGACTAGTCTAGCTCATTCCCTCCGACTTGTGCACACCAGCCAGCTCCGACTAGTCTAGCTCATTCCCTCCGACTTGTGCACACCAGCCAGCTCCGACTAGTCTAGCTCATTCCCTCCGACTTGTGCACACCAGCCAGCTCCGACTAGTCTAGCTCATTCCCTCCGACTTGTGCACACCAGCCAGCTCCGACTAGTCTAGCTCATTCCCTCCGACTTGTGCACACCAGCCAGCTCCGACTAGTCTAGCTCATTCCCTCCGACTTGTGCACACCAGCCAGCTCCGACTAGTCTAGCTCATTCCCTCCGACTTGTGCACACCAGCCAGCTCCGACTAGTCTAGCTCATTCCCTCCGACTTGTGCACACCAGCCAGCTCCGACTAGTCTAGCTCATTCCCTCCGACTTGTGCACACCAGCCAGCTCCGACTAGTCTAGCTCATTCCCTCCGACTTGTGCACACCAGCCAGCTCCGACTAGTCTAGCTCATTCCCTCCGA